TTTTTTCTCAGATGGCCCCCAGTCGCCATATTGAAAGTTTCATCTGTCAATTTCACTTCAAAATATAATATTCATGCATTAATTTCATTACCCCAAATTTCAATTTTTTGAGTTGACACGTTCAAAAAATGAAAGGGGGGGACGTTAAAGAAATACACTGTATATTTGGGCATCCAATATAAGGTGACGAAGTAATAAAAAAAAACGACATGGCTACTGCTCTGAACAATATAACCTTTCAATGGAGAATTGCTTTTATTTATTGAATTGGCTGAAATTGAACCCCATATTGAAATGGCAAAACTTTTCAATTAAAAACATTAAACTGTCAAGCGATAGTAAAACCTCATCGACTGATCTTAAAATCCAAAACACGCCAACTCACGTTTGTATAGCTATCTCTCTTCAATGTACCGAGTGCAAGCTATCATCCAAACAAGAGCTTCTTAATTAAATGTAAACGTTTATTGTACTGCCTTCATTTGTTACTTGTAGACTAGTAGGATGCTATATAAAAGTATGTGTTGTATCGCGTATTTTGTTGGTGAAGTAATCTATTTGAAAAACAATGAATATTCAATTAATGCAAAAAAAGACATCAAACAAAAGCAATATTCAAATCAGCATTCTTCAAGAGTTTATGTATCCATTTCAAACAAAAACTGACGAAAATTATGATTCAATTCATGAATGCAACTTTTGAACTTGAATGTTTTTAACAAGGGTTCATCTTGTTGAATTGTGTTGTGAGTTTTTTGTCAATACCGTGAATGACTTCCTCATGAAGTAATTGAATTCAAATATTGAATACATGTCCAACAGCACATCGAAATAGGTATGATCTAGTTGGAATCATGTTGAAAAATGATCGGTATCATCTCATCAATCTTATGGCTTCCTCCTGCTAATTAATAACCACTCTATATTAGACGAGCATACCAAATATACTTCACCAGAATGAAATACCCTCGTAAAACCTCTTGATATACACGAAGCCTTTACCTTTCTCATGTGTTTTTCCAAGATGAAAAATCATATTCAATAAACATATTGGACCAATTAAAATCGGACTCACCTGTAAGGCAGCATCCCGTCCAAAGCTTGATGAACGGTGGGTGGTGAGCTGAGTGCCAAACCTTTGGATAATAATGGACTATGTCTTGAAAATATATCGGAAGCAATGTTTTCCGCCATTTCCATATCAATGTCTGCCTCATCTGAAAACATTTGTCAATTAGTGAAAAATTGCATGTAAAGTATACCTCATCACATAGTTGGGATAAACGGAATATGAAATAAATTATAGAAGACACATTCTAAATGGCATTCCTTATCTTTTTGGTAGCCATATGAATCTGACATCACACCCATTTCAGTTTGAATTTGTAACACTGCCAATAGAACAAACAAAAGAGTATGATATAAAAGTATCATTCAGTGTCATAAAAAACTGTAATCAAAACACTATGCTGAGAAATTTTTGAGGAAATTGAATGTTTTGTGTGGAAAAACAAATTAAAGCAAGTGAAAAAAGCATATTTCACAAACTTTCATTATCGGAACCGAGTTTCTGAAATTATCGACTTTTTTTCTTTCAAGTGAGATTAATTCTATTTAAAAATTTTTCAAAAACTAGCACAAGCCCAAAAAACGAATATTTATGAGTTGGATTAATCCTAATGAATCTTTCAGAATAGCAGTAGGACTTAGGATGGGTTCATCTATTTGTGTTTCTACAAACACATTAATATCGATATTTCTGGAAATATTCCTTNTCTTCATATATAATTCATTTTAAATAATTCTTCGATTTGAAGGAAGTGAACACCCATGTTTATCATGTACCTCTGGAAATAACGTTCAGACAATATTTATAGGATAACTGATGTCTCAAGCCTTACCACCAATGACGGGAAGAAGAATATCCTTTTTCAGAAGACTCGCAGCGCACATGCCCCCCAAGAAAGACAACTCGGATTCTAGATGTTTGAGTTCAATATTCAAACTCGTGGTCCCTTCAGGTGGCCACTCATAACCTAGAACGAGACACTTGAATCCATAGGCGCTGATCCGGTCATCTTTCAAGTAATCCGAAGCGGTTTCCAAGGAAAAGATCACCTCGTTACCAGGCAAGATGATCGAATTCGTAGGCCACGTCAAACTAAAAATACAAAATACAAATAGCGATATGTCAAAAAAATCATAAATACACTGATTGTTTACCTCCCACTGAATCTATGCAGGACAGGCCAGTAAGGCATCGGAGGGGTGTCGTTGTCTTCTGAGCAACCACCAGATTTCTTTTCTGATTTGTAATTCATAGCAGGAACGAAAAGTTGAAGCGAGTCTTCCGGTTGAACTGTCGAACATGCAGGATCAAAATCCAAACTCATCCATTTCACGCTTTCAGGAAAGAGTACTCTACAATGAGAGAAAATATTTGCAGGGTTATTAGGTCTAATTTATTTATGTATTCATTAATGAGAAAAGTTCAATTCAGTTTGCAAAAGTTCAAACAGAAGAGAGAGTGCATATTATCCAATTTTGGCAGGAGTTTAGAGTTATTGGGACCCGCCCACAAGGGGATGTGGCCTTTCGACCACAAGGGGGAACAATATGGTAGAAAATGGAGGGCAAGGAAATGGAAAGCATTTTTTTCATTAAGGCTAAACACTTACATATACTTAGGTTTGAATTGACTTTTAATACATTTAATTAGCTCTAAGAATGGATAAAACTTATTGTTGCAGACTTCTCGACGCCAGAGGTACTCGCACATGTGCATAGCCAGATCATCACCGTTGTAACCACGCTCTAGCAGGTCGTGTTTAGGCAACTTCTAACTGTCTTCAATAGTCTAGGTGTGAGCATTGGTCTGTTGTTGGAATTTTAGGTTAGGTTAGTGTTAGGTTAGGCTAGGTTAGTGTAAGGTTAGGATAGGTTAGGTAAAAGTATTGAATTTGATATTTTGAATATTTTTGTAAATAATTAGGTATTCCCTCGCTCTGAAACCCCTACCATTCTGTTTCTCTCGTCACCCCCTTTTGATTGAGCGTGGTCCCAATAACTAAAGTGCAGCCCCAACTTTAACAAACATGACATACTGAATCCGTATCTTTTGTAAGGTTTGAGGGATGTCATAATATGAAATTTCTTCCTGAGCTTGCACTAGCATGCATGGTTAGCTTTCTCAGAGGAAAAAAATCCATTTTAGGATGGTCCGCAAAGTCGACAAAGGATACAGATTATAGTAGACTATTTATTGCACCGAAAGTTTAACAATTTCTATAAATTCATAAGTTAACGAGATCTGTAGTTTGTCGAATAGAGTGGTACTAAAAATAAGTTTCAAAGTGAGTTTCATTCAAGTGAAAGGTTTTAGAAGCAGTTAATGTGCCCTGATAATGTTTTGTAAAGATAAATCATACATAACTTGTTTTGAAAATTTGTTTTGTATACTTTCAATGAAATGCATGTATTTGATATAACACAAAATTATTCTAATCAAATTAAAGTACACTTCACTGTTTGAAGATATTTTTCTTATTGACAAAATCCAAGAAACTATAAATGTACAGATGAAAATTTGTTCACAAAGATACAATACAAAAGATGAAGGTATCAGTACATGAAAAAAATAGTATTTAATAATCATATCAATAAAAAGTTTCACTGAATTTCTACAAATATAAAATTCAGAAGATAAACTTATGATAAAACAGCTTTTGAGATACTGAGTCTTACTGTTTTTTGAAGCAATGCTTGTTATCTAAAATTATAACTAGTTCCTTATATACAACTTTTCTTTCAAGCATCATATTTTACTCAACATCAAAATATATTATAGAGTGCGATCTAGTGAAAACCATGTAGAAACACCTGCTTATATTGAGATAACCCTATCATGAGCTTCACACCAATCAGCACCTGTCATTTTGGATAAACTGTGCATCATCAAAACTTTATGGATGCGTATATTGGTGATTTCTGGGTACAAAGAGATTATCAAGAATATGCTGAACGTACCATAATAATCAAACTATACTATAATTACCTGTAATTAGTTACTGTTGAAGGTTTGTATGGATGATCACTTTCTACCAGGGTGTAATGATGGCTTGTCGTGTCAGCTTTGTAATCAATTGGTTCGTGAGTGGACGACATGTTCAAAGAAGCTGACAATTTGTTTTTCAAACATCCCGAAGTTCCCATCAAATTTAAAGCTGCTACATGAGGAAGAAGTTCTTGAATCAAGTTCAGTATGTGGACAGCACTCTGAAAATTTTGATACTATTGTTTTCTTTTTCAAAGTAAGCACGAAATTTCAATATTAAGTTATGACAAAATACATTCTACCAATATGGAAAACAGGCTTGATTGTATTTCCAAAATTCAGTGATTTCTTTTCTACACATACCTTTGAATCGCTCGTGGCCAAAGGACTGATATGAGCCAGGACTAGTGGAAGTAGAGTGGTAACAATGCAGGATTTACTCAGAATTTCAGCAGCGGGAACTTCATCAGCTTTCTCTCGCGCCAAAACCATCAAATTACTCGCTTTCTGACTAATGGAACTTGTCATGGACAAAGCTGTGTTTCTTGCTTGTTGCTCCAATTTTGTTGTTGCTGCTCTTCCGTATTCAAGGGGGTTGCTGGATTTGAAAAATGTATGAGTTGATAATAATAATAATATACTTTATTATCATAAGACATAATCTTGTAGACAAAGCTTGGGTAGTGAATACTTAAAAAAATGCAATACATACCAAATGAAAATAAAAATGGTGCATGGGTACAAACTATGTTGAAATGGAGGATATAAAAGATATGTATATATAAAAGAGTAAAAGTCAAGTTTATAAAAAAGTAGACATAAAATGTAACAACTTAGGCGCTCCTTAATTAATAAAGATAAAAAATATGAGCAAGTCAGTTAAAAGCTATCGTTAAAATATTCATCCAAAGTATAATAGGGTCTATCAGATAGAAATTGTTTGACTAACTTCCTGAATTGGAAGTCATTTATATTGGCAGATCTTATGTCCTTGACGCAAATGATTGTACATTTTTCCACTGTTTCTGGTGATGTTTTTAGTTGGCAGAGTGAGTTTCAGAGTGTGTCTGCTGTTTCGGGTGTTATAATGGGAAAGGGATGCAGCAAAATTCAATATATGCTTATTTATTGAACACACAGATTCTAGTATAAATAATGCAGTTATTACACCTTGGTCGTGTGTTCTTTAATAACAGTTCAGCCTAACAATGCGTTACGCCAGCGACGCGAAAATCGCATTTACAATATGCCAAAATTAGGTACTTTTTAGGTGCTTTTTAGGTACTGAAGTCAATACTCAGAGTTGCATTGCTAGCATTATGTTATGCTAGCAACGCAATGAAAATAATAATGAAATAATGAATGTTAAGGTAACACTATTAGGTGCTTATTAAGTGCTAAACGATGAGGATCGTAAAATTTTCTAATTAATAAACAAAAACTTCCAATTTCGCTAAACAACAGATCTAAGAGTCAAGTCTCTCGAAAACGAGAACGAATGCTCAATCAGGTATAAACTAAGCGTGGTAATAAAGTGCTAATTAGGTACATGCAAGAAATTAAGATGAAAGGACCATGAATAAGCGGAAAAAAAATTCGGGATACCTGATTTGGGAAAAAAATTAACAATATGCAATAAAGTCTTGAAATACTCGTAAAGTAATACATAGACAATCAAAATGAAGTGCTAATTAAGGGCTCACTAGATATTCATAGTAAACCTAGATTCTATAATGCATATGGGGCTCATGGACCTGAAAACCACCATGACTGATGTACTGAGTTTTTATAGTACCTACGTTTCTCAATAAATAAGGGCAACAGAATAAAGTGCTAATTGGGTGCTCATTAGATATTTATAGTAAACCTAGATTCCATAATTGCTATGGGGCTCATGGACCTGAAAACTGAGTACTGAGTTCTTATACTATAGTCTGGTTCACATGTACTCGATTTAGCTCTTTTTGGTGACATTTTTCAGCCCTGTCAAAAGATTACGACCAAGGATGTTTGAATCACACCCATTTTTAACTTTTTTCAAGTCGGCAGAGATTATTTTGTGCAACTCACAAGTGTTTTTATTATTCCAAAGTATGGTAGTATCATCTGCAAATAAGATGAACTTCCCAGAAATATTAAGCTTGGTGAGGTCATTAATATATAATAAGAAAAGAATGGGACCTAACACAGAACCTTGTGGAACTCCAGAATGATTTTTTTTTTGAAAATTGAGTTGTTTTGACCATTTGCGTTCGTCCCTTTAAGTAGGAATCGAACCATTTGAGAGTTACTCCTCTGCATCCATAACGTTGGAGCTTTCTCAGCAGTATTCTGTGATCAACGCAGTCAAATGCCTTTGACAGGTCTTTTCACCGAAATTCATCTCAGAATAAACTTTATTCAGAAATGAGAAAATAGCATCATGCGTATTTTTATTATTCTGGAAGTTGAATTGATTTTCACTGATGATGTTATGCTTATTTATGAATCCAAGCAGTAGTTTTTTAACTAGTTTTTCAATTATTTTTGCAGTGGTTGGTATGAGAGATATAGGGCGGAGATTAGAGGGATCATCAGAATCTCCGCCCTTATGCAGAGGAATGACCACAGAGGTTTTTAGAAAAAAGGGGAATATGCCTATTTGAAAGCAATACGAAAAAAAGATGAAATCTGTATATTGTTGGGAAAATTGGATAGTACTTGGTGAAGGTCTTGAGACCGACCAACCACTTTCATGTCATTTGCTCTGAAAACAGAATAACTTCTTGACAGATATATTAGGGACATAACAATGGCTAACAGACTAACAGCTTCAGGTCAGGTATGTTAACAGAAATAGCCTTATGCTGAGTCAAAGAAGAAGCAGAATATGCCTTAAAGAACAAGAAAGTGCATTTAGCTACTTTGTTGGATATTGAGGACACATTCAATAATACATCCAATGCGTTACACAAGCTACAAGTGGATAGTGGTACACAAAATTTCATAACGTTCAGTTTGTTGTAGATTCGACTTAAAATGTGGCTTACCTGTAATAAAGGATAACGGGAATTTGTCCTCTAGCGAGAGTCGAACCATTGAAACTAAGAGAACATGTCGAAAAAGTGAATATCGTGTTATCAGAACCCTTCACGGAACTCAACCCCCCATCCCCATTATTTGTTCTGCCGCCGTGATTCCTCAGCCGAATTGCATACTTGATATTTTCCTGTAAAAAAACACCGCTGATCCAGTAAAACAGAATCTTTACAACTCACCAACCTTTATAGGAACAGCTCTGTCAAATTTAATTTCAATAATGTCTGGAGGAAAATCTTCAGGCCCGAAAGAACCCCTGGTAACTTCCAAACTGTTCCATCTATGAGCGTGAGTCTGACCATCAGGACCGTTCATAGTGCTCGTCTGAAGAAAAAAATACTCTCAATATATTATCAAATAGGGATAACACATTTAATTACATCTTCCAGCAGTTCAAGTTCATATTCGTAGTGTCCAATACCTCCATAGATACCTGCCCCTACCACCGAAATACCAGGATGGTCAACTTGAAAGCAAATCGCGTCAGGAGAACCATTACCGGTATTCCACGTTCTCGACTGATTGGTTCTTGTAAATCTAGAGGGCGTCATATGCAATGTACGACCGCATGTTCCTTGAAGATCCTCCTAGAAGTAACTCCGATTGTGCAACACACCAACGACAATTTTGTTTGTGAAACAACTAATTTCAAGAGTAAACTTACCTCAGCGGAGCTACACTGATGAACCAATTCAGCCAAAACTCTGGCTAGTAAGTGACAACAATATTTTGTAAGTTCTAATGAGCAACTTGTGTTGCTTTTTTGTAAACTTCTCATTATAGGGTCACAAGCCAAGTTTATAAGGCATTCCAATACTTCGTTCCACTGCCAAGAAATTCCAGAACAACTAGATTCCATCTGAAAGTAAAAGAAATAAAATCTAAGTACAACATCTGGAACTGCCAGTTGCTACACTCATTTTTGCAGAAAGTTTCAATGAAATTTCTCCTCATATATAACCGAAGACTTCTTACAATAATGTGGCAAACATCTTAACCTAACCTCCAATTCACGGAGGTACGATGTGGAACTTTATAACCTACCTCGTCTACACATAGATGCTAAGAAGTCGGTATGATATTACCAGGAACCCCAGGATATAAAGATGAAAAATATGGATTTGAATAATTCATAAAACACGTTGCTTTTTCTCTAGCAGGTATGACTTCAAAAGGAAAGAAGCTAATATGGAAAAATAATATTGCTTCAATGTTTGCAAGATAGAATTACATATAAGATAGAGTCAAATAAATCGCTTATTATGTCACAGAACATATAAACTATGTGTTCGTTATTTTGAAGTATTTATGCAATTGTGGAGAATATTGCACCGCAGTTGCCTTTTATTTTTCACAAACGACCACATTATCAGTGAAATTTGCCTTTTATTGCCCTGGAAAAAGTGAAAGCTTAGAAACTGACAGCTGCTAGCATTCGAAAAAAGCAAGTGTGTGAAAAAATCTCTTGAAGGTGGACGAATTTTTAGAATAACTTCAATCATCAGATAAGATTATTCACAACTGGTGTACAGAAGAGGCGTTCTCAGGTCCTCAGGCTCTTGTCATCACAGTCCTTGCATGGGAATAGACAGATGAAATCCCCCCCCAAAGACCGGTGACGAGATCTGGAAAGTATGCAGATTGAGACCCCGGTGTCAGGTCACAAAACTCCAAATGCGTGTCACTACCAGAGAAGTAGACATATTGAAATCTCAGTGAAGCCATACTTTCCAGAGAATGTCTTCAAAGCCGAAACGTCAAAGGCGAAGTCCAATACACGGTTCAAGCCGACCTTCAAAAACTCAAAATGCTGACTACTGTTCACTAACATTGAGAGTATTAATATCAATTGACAGTATGTTGTCTAAATATTAGAAATGAATGTTATAAGAGTATATTTGCCCTTTCACTGCTATCCAAAATAATATCAAGGCTTTATTATTGTACTAAATCATCCCCTGAAAAAAATAACACCGACCGCCGCTGGTCGTCGTAAATCAATTGTGACGTGGCCAAGTTCGCGCTCAACTCGACTGGCGATTCGAAACCGTTCTACGTGTCACGTCGCTTCGAGAACAATTCTACCAGCTTCGATAGACTTCTGGTAAATTCCCTATTGACTTCAAGTGAATTCGATTGCCATATATAAACGCTACCCACACCCCGATCTAGAAGTCAAGTAGTTGTCAAGCGACAGTGCGGTGCTGAGTGAATTCAAATAAGGCGATAGACATTTGAATATTGGTTTGAAGTTTAGTTGTATTAGCAGTGTAATAAAGTTTGATCATTGTACAGTGTAGCAAACTCACTGAGAAAAACGTAACATTTGGTGACAGAGTGGGATGTAGGTGATGAATCAATATTTTGTGGAAACGTCAATACAAAATGTCACTTTAACAATTCTTTGTTTTCCTCGAGAGGTATGCACTTTCACCTTGAGATAATGATCTCCTCAAATACTGAAGACACCATCAGTTAATCAATTTTTCATACTAACCTGAGTTTTGTAGCTCATTTGTTCGACGAGAATGGGATAATGATGGGAATCGGAAACGCTCATCATCGGAAGGCCCGTATTATCTGAAGGACTCAATCCTCGATGCAGTGAACTTTCAGAACTAACGCTGTGACCAATGAGAGGAAATGTGCTGCGCAATCGGACACTGGGCGCGCAGAGTGCGCACAAAACTGCGCTCAGTAATCTCTGGCTGCTGTTGTAGATGTTCTGACCATTATCCTTGAAAATATAAAAGCATTATCTGTTGCGTAGCTGAACCATTATACAGTGAATGTTTGAATTACGAAACTGGTAGGTTGATTTATCCTTTATTTTTATAATTCTCAACATAAAACCTTTATTTTTATTCCTCACAACACCCTAATTGTGAATGTGAAATTAGGACATATATATTAAAAAATCAGACTAGTTTTGAGGTATTCAACAAAAGTAGAATGTTTGCCAAATAACGAATTTGTTCCATGATCAAACGACACATACCTTGTTACTTTCTGCCAGTAAGTCACATAAACAAGTCCACTTCAAGTAAGCCGTGGGGTAGAAAGCATGGAAACACAACACGAAAGTATGGTGACACTCATCTAGGACGTTGTTCATCATATTTATACTGAGCATGTTGATCTTGGTGGGCTTTTTATTCTGCAGTACAATAGGAATATTGTCGGACAGAATCTGCTTCAACAAAGTTCTCACGTCGCCTATACATTCGGCCAACTGGACGTTTTCCAGAGAAACTTTTCTGTTGATTTGTTTCGGATAAATTTCGTTGGTGTAAGTGCAAATTAATCTCAAACTGGCTCTGCTGATGTAAACCAAACGCTCTAGTTCAAGGGTGGTGTACATATTTTTAAGGGATTGACCTTCCACGACTCCCCATTTGAAAGTATTCCACGACCACTGTAGGAGAGATAGCAAGCTTTGGAAACACTCCTTGGTGACGGTCCTAGAGAATCCCTTGGACAAAATATGGATAGGTTCGACTATGTCAGTTTGTCTTGGTGGTGACTGGTTTTCAGGTGTTATTATCTTGTATAGTAATTGCGGTATTTGACCGGCATTGACATCTGTACCGTTGTTCGACTTTTTTGAGGATTTGAAGTAAAATAACACCTGGTCTTCGGTTGTTACCATTGTTTGGCCAGAGGAACCACAATCACTGCTTGGGCCGCTGATTCTACACCAAGCGACAAACCATCGATGTGCCTTAAAAACATTGAGAATATCTGTGAAATACTTTTTCGCCATTTATCTTTGCGGGGGTTGAAAGTGAGAAAGAAAAAAATGGGTATACAAGCGAATTGGGAGCGAATGGAAACAGGATACAAGGATCCCTAACGAAAGAGGCATATATTTTTCAAAATCCAACCTATACTAAAAATACTCTCTCTTCAATGAATGGACAACTACCAGATCTGTACGAATCATGCATCATTTTTACCTCACCAGAAAAGATATTGTTTAAAGATGACACTTTCCATTTGTATTATTTTTACCGTATTATTTTTCTGACATTTCACATGTATCCAGTGTACCGAATTAATGAACAATTCATTGTGTTTTATTTACTCACGCTTGTTAAGCTCTCTTCGATGTACTGAAAGGAAGCTATCATCCAAATCAGAGCTCTCGAACACAAACATCAACTGTTTCGTCTTTTTTTTTTTGCTTGTAGAAGACAAATTCATTGAATAATGGAACCAGGGCCAGGAAAAAAGCATACTGTTCGGAAATTTCTATACGAGAAAATGAAGAATTATCTTCTTTAAATATATTTAAAAATTTCTGCCAGAAAAAACAAATGTCAAACGTATGTGCGGCCTGGATTGAGAGATCGTCCTCGGAAATTTGATTTTTTTCTCCAGTAAATCGAGTTTTTGAAATTTCCAGCCTGTCCATACTGTGGGAGTGACAAAGTGCACCGACTGCATTGAAGGTAACACACAATTTGTACTTCCAGTGAAGTATTCAGCGAAAACGAGCTTCAAATAATATTTGCTGGGCGACATCAGAACCGGGAAATATCCAGTACAGGCCGGAGTGTAGCCATCTGAAATTTCTGAATTTAGAACTTGGCGATCTTTCGTCTGTAAGTTGCTGGAGTCGTGACTAGAGCTGAAACCTTGTTTGATACTCTCCCCCACAACTCATCTGGTGATCCGTCCAGCAACTCAGGAAGGTCTACGCCGCTCCAACAACTTTCTGCACCACAATATCGTACAAGATACTGGCAAAAGATGATAACCCACTGTTACATCACCACCCTCTTCATTGAATAAAAGAAAATCATTTAAAGACTTCAAGACTGTCAACACTACCCCGGACCCTTCTACATCCAGGAGAACTACTAAATCCTGGAGAAAGTTTCTAGTCATTTCCAAGAAGCTGACAAAGCCCGGCTCCGGCTCAGATCAGCACCAGGCGGAGTCATCACCTCCAAGACTGCGACCATGCTTCTATCTATTCCGCTTGGCACCGCCAAAGCAACACTAGAGTCACACAGCACAGTGGAACACAACAAGTCCCGTTGCGCCACAATCAGACATGTGGTGCCAGGAATAGTCAGCGCTGTATCGAGAAGTCCACCCCATGAAGACAGGTCTAAATCCAGGAGAAGGAATCGGTGGTAATAAAACGACTGGAGGCCTCTACTCAGAGAGGAAAACCATTTATAGCCTGTATGAAGACCACCGCCAAATTAACCAAAGACCAGGTACGCCATAACTGAGACAAGACACAATATTCTCCAAGTTCTTCGCTGTAGCTTAAGATGCAGTAAGGAGATACTCACTGACCAATCTCCTTGCTAGCAATCCTGGATCGAGTGATGCTGGCACTTCCACAGCCATTCCATCAACGTCTATTGCCGAGCCGAGAGAGAAAAAAGAACCTTGTGAAATCTCTCTACCAGACATTTCATCTGCTTCAAGTACAACTGATGACATAAATGTCACAACAGATGGGGAAATCCATCTATTGGAAACAGCAACATTTGCCCTATTGCAGTAGCCAAGCTAGACAATACTACTTGCCTAGCTTTAAAAAAATTGAAAATTTTAAAAATCATCAAAGAAAGTTTTCTAGTTCATTGGTAGTCATTAAATATGTTTATATAAATATTTATTCATTCCCAAAAGATAATTGTTCATATTTATTGATTGTTGGCATATTTTTCCAGTTGAAGGCATCGTACAGAAATGATATTATTTACCAAAAAATAGCATTTTTTTTTTCATTATTTCCATTGGAATGAAAATTCTGTTCAATATAGTTACCTGCAAGGGAACCGGTTCATCAAACAAAATCGAAAATTTCTGCCTCGGACCGCATTCATATGGTATCTCTTCAGTTTCTGCCAACAACTCCCCGTCAATCTCTTGTTCTCCCCCTTCAGGACCGATATCCAACAACTTCAACTTGGCCGTATACTCTCCGCGACCGCCAAACAGCCCAAAACCCCCCAGAAGTATATCGGAATCAGCCATGAAGCGAATCGCCTCTATGCTGTGACCCGAATATCCCCAACCACCTCCATGGCTCTCGAATCTATTAACCGCCTGGAAGTCTTCCTTGGAGTACTGCTTTCCAGACATTAGTTGCCTGTCATCAATTATGTCGTTGATGGTCGAGATTTGCATTTGGTGGGCAATGGAGAGTATGTCGAGGCAGCAAAGAAGATTGATTGCCGCCTGGAAGCGCGTCACAAAACAATTCGTCGTTACCGGAAGAGCTAGTTCGGGCGAGAGAATGGACGCCAGTTGAAAACTTACATCTGGCGTCTCCGGATCGTAAGACGTTATATCTCCGGGAATGTGATTGTCCAAAATCCGAAACGAATTTTTGAGCTGAAGTTCGCTAGCTATTACGTTGTAACAGGAAAATTCGTTACAGTTAGAGTCGTAAGACCAAAGAACGTTATAAATCGGATCCATACAAACTATTTTGTTGCTAAAATCGACTTGATCGTCACTTTTGAACGAGTTACAGTTACCATCCCGCTTGTTGATGACTAGACATTTGAAGTTCTTGGCAGTTTCTTCTTCGTTCGGCAATAAAACTGAAATAACAATAATTTTTCACACAAAATAGTAACCAGTAATAGCAATTCATACCGATAGAATGTTTATTTGCAGTAACAGTTGATTTTGATATGCTTATTGAGTTAATTAGGCTTTCGTCAAGTTTCAGAAAGGTTTGGTCTCCTGAAGCCCCGACCCAAGTTGCTCTACGTCCGTGCCTGGGGCCGATATTGGGAATGAGACCTGGGATGCTATACCAAGGCGTTCTTGGGTTGCTATAGCGAGAGCTGGAACTATTGCCGGGTTGGGTGGCATCTTGAGAAGAATTAGGGGATCTTCCAAGCTGCCCCTTCTGCAAAGGATGAGAAATAAAACATTGTCAAAATAAATCTGATGAGTGGATCGAGTTGAGATACATATGTATTGCAACAGGGATCAATTCTGCATCCATTATGTTGTGCCAATTCAATTTTTGAACTATTCCTTATGATATTGTTGTGAATTATCCCCTAAAAAAAATAACGCCAGCCGCCGCTGTCTTTGTTAATCAACTATGACCGGTCAAGGTCGCGCTCAACTCGTATTTGTTCTTCTCAATCGTTCTAGGCATCGCTTCGCCTCGAAAATATTCCTATCGGCATCCGGAAACTTTCATTGAGATATATAGGCACTACCAACAGGCAGATGAGGCTAGTCTAGTTGAAAGTGCGGTAGTGAGCTAATAAGGCGATGAACATCTGAGTCTTGATTTGAAGTTCAGTTAAAGTTTTTAAGTCAGTGTAGTAGTGAAATAAAGTTGATTTCATTTGTACAGTGTTGTCAATCATTTTCGAACCCAAGGAAAAACGAAACAATATGTTTGCTATCGGAGATGCGATAGATCGACTTAGCATATCTGGACAATTAACTAATGTATCAGATAAAATGTATAAATGATGTACAGAAAACAGACTGCAGCTGGCGTTTCATATTGGAATGGACAGAATTAGAAAAAATGAAACTCTTAGAAATATCTGTGAAAAATACTTAAAGTTGGGAAACACATATTCAGGAATTAAATTCCAAAATGAACTTCTTATGCCGCTTAATAAAATATCTTAGAGATCGTATCTCAATAGAAGGTCTAAGAACATATTATTTTGCTTATTGCTTTTTGCTTATTCACTAAATGACTATGAAATGATTTTTTGGAGCAGCCCAACCGCTCTCATTAGGTATTTGTGAGTCAAAAAAGAATTATTCCTTTTATGTTGTTATACTATTTACTAATTCTTTGTACTCACTTGTGCATTTCCAAATGTGTAAACTTCACCTTTCGAGGTGAGCACAACGGAATGATTACTACCAGCTGCCACATGTACTGCACTACAAGGAAGTCTCACTAACTGAATGCCGTTCTTTGTCAATATGTCTCCACATCCAAGCTGACCGTATAAGTTGGATCCAAAAGTATAGACCTAAATATGCATTACGATAACGAGGAAATATTGAATGTAGTTGATGTAAGTGTTAAAATAATTGGAAATATTTTCTCAGTTACCTGTCCGTTCTGTAGGAGAAGCAAACTATGGTGTAGCCCACAGGCTATTTGAATCACTGGATTTTCTGTTGGTAGAGATAACTTGGCTGGTGGAAGACACGTTAAACGAGCAGCATCTCTTTCAACGTCAGAACCTTGCTGCTCTTTCACTGCGAATGCACCATAAATTTCATCAGATAAGGAATTATTTCAAGATTTTCACAACATCCCTACTACTATGAACTCGGGTCATAAAGGTTATAAAGGCTGAAAAGTTGCCCTTTTCTGAACTTTGAAGGGCCGTAACTTTTTAAATAAGGGAGAGCGCCGCTTTTTTCTTTCGGATTCGTAATCTACGCATCAAAATACGGAAGTACAGTCAAAAATTTTTTCAAAATCGCCGGGTGTCCACATAACGAAAATTTACCAAAAATAAATGCCAATAAGTCAGCCATTCTCTAATCTATGCAAGGGACTTATGTATGTAGGAATTGACTTATTCTAAAAACTGCCATTACGATTTCTTGTCCCCAATTCGAATGAAAACGTCGAGATAAACAATATGTTTTATACATCAGTAGGTCTACAAAATCAACAGAGCGGTAATTTAATTCACTTTGGCACACTCTGTGTATTTTTACAAATTACAGAGGCTTGAAACCCCAAAGCCTATCCTGTACGTTCAAATAATATAAACGTGCATTATCAAATATTTCTTTGTCACTAGGCAATTAAACATCAAATAAATAATACAATGTAGGTTCTAGGTACACACTCAAAAATATTTTTACCTTTGCTCCGAATATAAGACAACAGATCCTTCACTCCGTAACATGGTTGCCAGCAAGCCGAACTTTTATAAACTTCTATCAGATGTGAAGCGACAGCATCGAGTTTTTTGTCATCCAAATCATACTTGGAGTCCTTGAAGGTTCCTTTCACCACCATATTCCACCAACGTTCCCATCCTAGTCCGGTGTGAAGCCCGAAGTTTGGATGCTCTTTGGTCATTTTGCGCCAGTGAGCTTTGAAATTGGCGCTCAAAGTGTTGTTATCGCACAGAATTCCGTACATTGCCCCGATCTCCCCGTACTGTTGACTTGGTGATGATCGAAATTTCAGAAGTGTCCCAGTTACATCAAATGTTATCAAACGTAATCGAGATATTAACATTGTTAGTTATAATCGTGCAAGTTGAGAAACTAACGATTCACTATCAACTTTTGTGCAGCGAAATTATAATGTTCAAATTTTTGTTAGTTAATTTATAGCGACATTCGGAATGAAGACCAAAGTCTATGTTTGATTGCGTTGGGAAGGCAGGGACGGCTTCAGCTTATGATGACAGTTGATGTAAATACATATTTTGAGATTTTTGTGAATTAATATCGTTTATACTTGTCAAAATTCCATGTATTATAATAATACATGGAATATTGACAATCAATTTCGAATGCAATTTGGATGACATAGTATATAAATGGACTGACCCGTTACTTGATGAAAATTAATAACACTCCCCATGATAATTATCATGGATGACATAGAGTTTCGCCGACTAGTATCAAAATGCTATAATTATGAATCTGTTACTTTCTGGCACCTGTGCTGTAAATGGGTAGATGTACGTCAAAAAAAGGATGAAATCCTGCCATGAAATTGTTCTGACAATGAAATACAATGTGTGGGTAAACTTATTAATGCACGACTGAGCATAAAGTACCACAATATTGCCCGGATTTGCGGGCATAAAGTAGCACTTTAGCGCCCGCGGACTACTTGAATCGTTGAGCAGACGATAAAGTGAATTTCAATCTCATATCGATAGAAATCTATATTCTGATGGTTTCAATAAATGCAAAATTATTGAAACAGATATCTGAATTATACAGTGCACATTACGAGTCGAAAATCCATCAACAACCATCATCAGACTATCAATATATCTATTGTACATTTGAAGTAGCTTTCAGCATGGAATAATATAACCACATGGAAGAAGGTTATTGATATTTAGATTTTTCAGAAAATACGCAAGAAGTACACTCTCTGTGTACTTATTTTTTACATCATTCCCGTTGAACCACCCCACGAATTCTTCATACACTTTGTCGTATACTTTCTTGGATTTACTTGGCAATAAACTCAATTTCGCATCCTCAGCTGCTTCAGCTATTTCCGGTGGAGTACAATTCACACTTTCTGCATCGCTTGAATCCATTTCAAAATCACTAATAAATTATCTGTGATCACAAAAATTGACAGCAAATATGGCTACTAGCCTATATAATCTTATTTCGAAAAATTGGGAACCATGGGAACATTCATACCATCACTTCTTGATTTATTCTGTTTAAAGGCGATTGACAATGTTTCATGATGAATTTCATTAGTCCGGACTTCCATTGTCTAATATTATAGAAAATGATTTGAAATCCCTAAAAGAATCAATGAAAAAACTCGCAATAAAGAATGCCCAAATTTCCACTTACTGCCCAGGATTCCGTTCAGCACTCACAGAGGACAGACAACTAATAGAGTATCCTGTACACTCCCTGCATACAGTACAAATCATACACATATCATCGTGCCAAGAATGCATCCCAGGGGGACAAATGTTATGCTGCTCCCCCATATTGGGATCGGACACACCAGGTATGTTGTCTCTGTCTTTCTGGTTTTCCGTTTGAATTTCATCGAGAAGATCCTGTTCTTCTTGTACTCCACAAGTATCCATCGCAACAATATTGGTGGAATTCTCTAAAATAAAGGAACTCGACTGAGAAAAAGCATGAGAAAATATTAATATATTCGTACCTTCCTTGGATGTAGCAAATTCTCTTCCGCATTGGAATTTATTATTGATCCCGAAAGTGTACACTTGCCCTTTGTTAGTCAGAGCTACGGCGTGCGCTTTTCCAAGTGAAACTTGGGTTATGAATTCACCTTTCAAACTGCTAACAACTCCTGTAATATTATTAATAATAATAATACTTTTATTGCAAAACGATCATCACAGGACAAGCAAACTTCAGGTACAGGTTTAAAAAAGCAAGTTAAAATGTATTTACAATGTCTATAAATCGGGGGGAGATGAAAATATTTAAATATTGAGGTACAGTACAAATATTAAACGTCAAAACAGTATTCTAATACGAAGACAAGAATATACAGCAGAATTTGAAAATTTGAGAAACACAATTGAAAGAGAATCTAAAACTAATACACGTTACTACATCCAACAATCAAAAGAATAATCGCGTTTCTGCTTCAAGTAACTTATGACAGAACTCCTGAACCTCTTCAGGCCTTTGATATCTTTCAGTACTTGAGGTAGTGAGGTGTATGCTTTGATTGCTTGGTAGTNTTTTGTATACGCTGTAGACGCCTTTGATTGTTGGAGAGAAGAGCAAGGCTGTGAATATAGTTTCAGTACGATAATTTTGAAAATATCAGAGATTTGCAAATAGTCAATTTCATGTAGATATTCATAACAATTCTGTTAAGGTATATTTCTATAAGAATATTGGCTGAGGTTCTAACTAAATTTCTTTGTAAATCTCATATCACTGTCTAATCAGAGAAAGTTTTTGGATCCCCTAACAATAGACAGTGGTTCACCCAGTAGATCAATATCAGCTCTTATTGCAAGTTCCCGTTTACTTTTTGGACCGAAAAAATTTCATTTGGTTTGAAAGCGTTTAATGTCAAATAACTTTCATTAATCATCATTATTCATATCAATTTTCTGCAATATGAATTCAGTTGAAAAAGTTATTTACAACTGTGTATCATCTGCATATTGATGTATGGAACATTTCCCAACAAAATTCACAAAATCAGATATGTATATTTGAAAGAGGAGTGGACCAGGTATCGAGCCTTGGAGTATTCCGTAGCGTCCCAGTAAATGGCTGGAAGTATTATTATTCAGATGAACATATTGTGAACGTTTTTTTTTTTAATAGAGTTCTCAACTAATGATAATGAAATATATTCAAAACCAAAATATTTCAATATTACATAGTATCGCAGGGTCTAGAAATCTAGAGTAATGAAAGCTTTACTGTAATCAAGTAACAGTTAGACATTGCGCAGCAAATTTTTGGTTTGCCCTTTTCGGTTTGCCCTTTATTACACTTCAATGGGTTAGCTAACAATCTATCTTTATTTATTTTGCAGATCATGGAGGGATATATACCCAAAAAAGGAGCAAAAAATATATCTATATTTTGTCTGTATCACAACCGTCATTAATAGTATTTGAAGTTCTAATTGAACTTATCTATAACTTCTTTCTATCAAATGATAAAGTTTTTTTAAATTTGGTAGAAACTATCTCAAACACAAAGCTATTGAAAACATGAGATTTTTTTAGTTTCCGAAGTTTTTCTCTGAACCATAAATTCATACTGAATTTTATGGAAATGTAAAAATCTGAACGATAAATACAGAAAATGTGAATCACAAACCTGTAACTGGATCTGCATGCGTAGTGTCTTTCCCAAACATTATTAGTTCTCCCTCTTTATTAATCAATGCTGTGGTACCACTGTTGCAAGCCACATAAACCATGCATTGTCCATCAACCTTGATCATCTTTTTCGGTTTGACAGGTTTCGGTTGTCTCCTAACTTTATTTTGATCACCATCTTCTCCTCTACGTGCAGTTCCTTAAAAACAAGTAGTTTTAACAAATTATTGTATTATTTAGTACAAGGCATAGAAAAATCGATAATTATTAAGTTCAATGAGAGCAACTTATGCAGAAATTAAAATCCTAAAACAAAAACCCAAACCGTTATTTTAACATCTTGACACGTGTTTTGATCACCAAGTGATCATCTTCAAGAGGAAGATCAATGAGCTGAGTTTGATCTTCCTTTCGAAGATGATCACTTGGTGATCGAAACACGTGTCGAGGTGTTAAAATACTGGTTTGGTGTTGGGAAAAAAATTCTAGTAATATCCATTACTACACCGAAAGTTCCAAACAGTGCATCACAAGTACATGGCTATAGCAAACAATTTTAAATAGTATAGCCATTACTTTCAAAATAATGAAATTCAATACCAAAGCAACTCACCAATGAAAATGACTGATCCATCTTCAGTTATTAGTACAGCATGAAGTCCATCATGACCAATGGACATCTGGCTTACTTTTGGGGTTTTAGTAAGAACTAGGTCAGACCATTTTCCAGTTCTGACTCCTGCTTGTTTTATCCCAAGAGCAGATGATTTTCCACAATATAATATCTGGAAAATTCCAAAATATTAGCCATTTTAAAACACAGGGTGCAAAAATTTCGAAAATATGAAAAGTTAATTCATTGTTACAAACAACCACAGCCAAAGTCATAGCAAATCAAGAACTTTTTCATCTTCATGAATTTTTCATCATCATTAATATTTTACAAAATCTGGCCTAATTCTCAACACTGCAGTACACCTATTTCAGGATTCCTAAATTAAAAAAAAAAAGATTATAAGATTTATGGGTAAAACAGATCATGCTTATAATCCCTCGTGTTGATTAATTAGCTTACCACGCCATAAATTCAATTCATTACCTTTCCTGTGACTGTCCTAATGAGTCCAAACTCTTTTCCGGTACAGATACTGGCAATTTCTTCCTCACTTCCTGTATTCACGGTGTAAGTTCCAATTTCCTCATCAAAAGAAGAGAGCCCGAAAACATCAACACATTTTCTAGCTAATTTTAGTGGAAGCTCACTTACAAGGGATGCAGGAGAGGTGTTCTGATTCAACATCCTGACTACGAATCCATCCTACAAGATCATTACTTATTACAATTTCTGAAGCTGAACAAAGTGAAATAATAATGATAGTCTCAAGAAATCAGAAAGTTATAACAGGGATTGAAAATAAAATGGTGTGTAACTGAATACATTTATGTTATCAATCATAAAATTATATGTTTCACAAATGTTTTGATTTTTTTTATGCTCTATAGTACAATTTCATAAAAGTAGGCACTGAAATTTCAGAACTATTATTACATTAAAACGAAAACATTGTTGTCAAGGTTGTGATTCTATATATTTTATCATTTTTCCGTCATCTGTTTAGTATAATTTCCGTATGGCACTGCAAGAGAGAGATTAAGGCAAAAACTCAGTTATTTCTGAGAATTTAGTGCCTACTATTTAAAATTATAACAACATATTCGTTCTCTGGTTTTAAATATAGTCCTCTCACACAAATATGTAGTTGAAAACCCCATCAGATCTTTTAAGGGTATGTTCGATATTACTGGATACTCTCCCCTAACCTTCATCCAAAATGGTGAAAACAATTCGAAAGTATTAAGTGTTTTTAATCTGTTTCCGCGTCCCACCCAAATAGCTCCCGCGAACCACTAGTGGGTCGCGACCCACAGTTTGGGAACCACTGCCCTAACTGATCTTGAAATTCTGTGTCATTCAACATATTTCAATACTATTTATTTAATTGAATCAAGGTTAGATTTTACATCATTGGTTAACGTAAAAACGTTATCTCAAAAAAATCAATATATGAATAGAATAGAATAGAACTTTATTCGTCACTGAAGTTATTACAAAAAGGAGTACAGAATGTATAACTTATTGGACTCGTCACAAAATATGAAGTGAAACATATTCAGATAAAAAATGATACAGATTATTTTCCAGACGTTCTCAAAAATGGAATAATCAAAGAACTTCCACAAAAGTGGAAGCAGAGCAAGTGTACTGAAGATGCTATACATAAAGTGATCTCAAAAATATATGACTCATTAGATAAAAAAATTCCTATTATTGGCATATTTTTAGACCTTCTTTGATACAGTATGTCATGAAAAATTACTGGACAAACTTCAAAAGTACGGAATTAGACGAAACACTTATGAAATAAAAAAAAAATCAAACGGTAAACAAGTAGTGGTTAACGATGTTATTCATAGTATATCAAAAATAGTAATTTTAGGCGTACCACAAGGAATTGTTCATGGACCATATTTCTTTTTATCTACATGGATATGAATATCACTGGAGTTTTTTCCCAACACCAAACCGTTATTTCAACATCTTGACACGTGTTTTGATCACCAAGTGATCATCTTCAAGAGGAAGATCAATGAGCTGAGTTTGATCTTCCTCTTGAAGATGATCACTTGGTGATCGAAACACGTGTCGAGGTGTTAAAATAACGGTTTGGTGTTGGGATACATTTTTTCAATAAAAATCCCACCGTCACTATTTGGTGTCCTATAAACTGTGATGACATATAATTTGTTACTGCTGACTGGGAGATTTATAGAGATCACTATAGCATCAAAGTGTTTCTCAATATTGTGATTATGGGCTATTGATTTAGTTTGGAACATATTATGCTCTCACAAATATACAAACTCCACCATGTTGAAATTCTTCACGGCAGAAACTACTTACCATAGAAAAATCATATAATTTGAATGACATCATCTCCTCCGATTTAAGCCAATGTTCTGAGATGCAGCAAATATCTACACTATGTAAGTCAAAAATAATTTCCAGATCCCCAGATTTGTCAAAAATATCCTGTACATTAAAATGTATTATATTGAGTGTTTTTGTTATATCTATTTTCACTTTTTTGTATTTAATTTTTCTGTTTAGTTTGAGAAGTGTCTAAAAAAGTAGTTGGTCTTTTTTCATCTTCATTTGCTAACACATTTTTCGTTTTATATTTCTCATAGCCGATTGAAATCAAACCTTCTATAAAAGAGGTCTTTGTATTTAAAATCACTAACAACTACAAAGGTTTTAAGTCTTTTATTTTCATTTAAGTCCTTAACTATGAATTCTTCTTCAGCATTAGTTTTTCTTTTTAGGTAATCTGTTATATCTGTTTCAGCCACATCTTGTGACACTTTATATAGATATAACCATAATCTACGCCTCGCGCCCTTGAACTTTTCTTGTGTTGCTTCTGATTGTCCTATATTTTTCCTGTTGTATTGCTTTTTCCTCTGGATTTGTCATTCTTCATTTTTCTCATCTTGTTTTAATTCTTCTTGTTGTATTAAAGTAGACGCACGATCTTGGTTCTCACTTCCAAGGTTTATTATTTCATTACACTTAAGAATAGTCTGTGTCTCCATCAACTTCAGAGATAGCTGATTTACCGAGAGTATTGTATCACCCTGTATATTGGAAAATTCCCCTACACTATTTGGATATGTTATTTTTGGGTTATCTAGTGGGTCTTTTTTGTTATGGATAGAGGTTTTTGTCTGTTTTTTTTTTATCAGTGTTCTTTGGTTCAACATACTTTTTCTTAGCATCTGTATTGTGTAGTTTATGGTTGGACGATTTATTTCTAGCTTCTAACAATTTCTCAAGAGATTGTATTTTCTCTCTCAGCAGGGTAATACTTTCTTTATCATCAATAATGGTGTTTTTATCTTTCAAAAAATATTGCGAAAAATAATTTCCTTACATCTTTAGCAGGAGATATAACACCTAAGTAATCTCCGTCTGAAAACACCACCGTGGCTGAAGAGTCCCTATTGTGCAGAGGAACGGATGCCGAAATGAGAAGATTACTCCTTTCAACAACAAGAAATTCACAGCCTCGTCTCCCACATAGTTTCAAATATAAATTTCCCTAAAAAACAAAATATTATCCCCTCAGTCGACAATTTTTTTTTTCTCGTCTCACATCACAAAATACTAAACTTCCATTATCATTTGGATAAAATTCTGGTTTCCACGCCACAACATGTCCTTTTATTGTTCCTCCATACCCGCTTCCAATCTTCAATAAGCCTCTAGAAGTGAACAAGTACAAATACTGTCCATCGCAAGCCAGAGACTTCATTTTCATCTGCTGGTTATGGAGTTCATTTGGGAGTTTAACTGAAAAATAATCGATTTTGGACTTGATTGGCACGCCGTGAGTTATCCAAGCTGGTCTGATAATTTTTCCCAACAGGATGCCGTGGAGACTTTTTTGGAGAGAAGAAAGAACTGCAGGCATCTGAAACAAAACTCTGATTTTAAATTATACATCGAAAATCTAGACATCAATATGCAACTATTAAAAACATCGCTTTTAAAGTAGTGATTTAATATAAATGATATTCTATTCAGCCTATATACTAAAATAACATTCGAGTAACTGTTGAAATCATTATTCAATAATTAAAACAAAGGAATTAAATAAGCAAGTGTAGGATGAAGAGGAAAATATTTTAAAAGGCAATCAGAAAGCAATTAAAAAAAATCCAATCAGCCTGAACCATCTCGAATTCAGAATGGAATATTTCAACAATTTCGCAAAGTTCCACCCTCATTGAAAAGTTGGGAAATTCTGTTTTTCCGTTAACCAGCTGTCGCACCCCTACGAACGACAACCCTCGGAAGTTGAAACTTGTGCGAGCTAAGGATTAACGAGGTCTTACCTTCTAACGTGTAATTCCTAACACGAAATAATATTCGAAATAGTAATCTTTACAATGTTTAATCAAGCAAATAATGTCAGTAGTAGCAACAATTGGGTTTCTACCATCCACTTGAATGATGGTGAGGCGACTGCGGCTGTATTCTGTGACTTGTCAAAAACATTTGATTGTGTTAACCACAGAATACTGCTGCGGAAGCTATATCATTATGGAATTGCTGGGAACTGCCTGAAATGGTTTGAATCCTAGACAGTTTGTTAAAACCAATAGTTGCTCAAGTACAAAGAATGTGAAAGCAGGAGTGCCCCAAGGATCGATCTTAGGACCATACTTTTTTACTATATGTAAATGACCTGGCTACTGTACGTATTTCTGGTAGTTTAACCATTTTTGTAGATGATACCACACTTTTGTGACATAATATAAATCAACAGAATTTATATGAAAGCATCTGTAATGACCTCAGCGAAATTAAACAATGGTGCAATGCAAATCTGCTGTCATTTAACAGTGAAAAAAACTAGTATAATCACCTTTAAGTGCAAAAATTCATATGGAAAGTACACTAGTGGAAAATAAGATCTCTACAAAATTCTTGGGAATTAATATTGATGAGTGTCTGAAATTTGAGGAGCACATAGGCATTATAAACAAGAAACTGTTTGTAATTACTAGATCTTTATAAAACCTGACCCTAATTACTATATATACCAACACAATACACTCAATCAACAGCTCATAAAACTGACACATGAGCTATGGGATTATTGGATTTATTTTTCCTACAAAATGAAAATCTTATGCCTCAATATATTCTGTGGAAAAAATTATTTCAAACGCAGTTGCCCTCCTGATTTTAACTTTGGATTTTTGAAAATTAAACTTTCTACAACGTTCATGAACTTACATATTTTTTTGCATCTTTTTCTCATTGAGCAAGTACCAAGATCTCATGCATCCTGTTTTTTCTTGAATTAGCCAATTTGAAAACAAATTCATTTTCAGAAACTCTAGAAATCAGGTTTTCCAAAAGGTTTAATTAGTTTTCTTAGTGTATTATGAAAATAATTTCAAGTTCTATAGCAATTTATTTGCAAGGTATAAAACTTTTTGTCTGTTGAAGTTTTTTCAATACTACAAAAATAAGATGGAAGAGCATTCTCAGCTGTGTTAATGAATCCTGCTATTTACAGCTTGTCAAATCTAGGAGGAGATTTCAAAGACTCGGTTTGACAAACTGTACGGTTGTATTTTTTTGCAGACCAACAAAAATATTTTTCTTATTATTGAAAGTGGATGAAGTGAAAGTATGAACGTTTGACCTAAAAAGTGATTCCAATTGAAAATTTATGAAGAACAGAATGAATCCCTAAACTAAGAGCTACACATCAGTAGTATGTTCTGAAAACTAAATAAAGAATTTTTCACTATAATACAAATTTAAAACTGTGTTGGATCATTTAGTCTATTGTCATGATATAGTCATATATTTTTAACATCAACACACTTGTTGAAGTGTGTTAACTTTATTGAGTCAATGCATTTTCTTATAATTATATGTCGAGAATATTTACCCTCATAAGTCGACTGAATTTAAAATCTCCCTTAGAATACTTTGAATTTTATGAAGGCTAACTCAGAATCAAATGCTTACCTGAATATTCTGTAATGACAGAGCTCTTGGGCACATCAGAAGTGCTGCAGCAGCAGCAAGATATTTTCCTGTATCCCCTCTTACCACCACCAGCGACAATAAGCAAGCGCAAGCTACTGCTGTGAAATGACTGCCATCGTTAAGAACAGAACTCTCAGGTCCATGTAAGGTAGCCAAATCTAACAACAAATCAAACAATGAATCTATAACTTCAGGTGGTTCAAACTTTAGAGCTTCTGGCATCTGACCCTGCAAGACATTTAGTAAAGCATTCAATGCCTTAGTACAAAGCATTGGGTGAGTGATTCGACTTTCTTTGATCAGCTCAAAAACAGACCGCAAACCTAAGCCAACAACCTTAGATACTATTACAGGCGTTAGGTATGTGCTTTGGGAATTATCTTCTGTGTCACTTTCAATTTCACTTTGATCTTGGATAGGGGCACTGCAACTGCTATGAAGATATGCCTGACTTGCTTGCCTCATCCATCTATCGAGGACTGCTAACCGCACAGAAGCAAATACAGCAAATGCTGAGGCATTGCCAGGGAGCTCTATTTCAGGAGCACCTTGTGGGTCATTTTCACATGGTAGTTCTGATTTATTTTTTTGCTTGCATCGCAATTTCGAAGATTTCTTTTTCAGTCTTTTCCATTCCAGTCTTTTCCTGAAAATAATTAGCATCAGATCACACTTGAAAATTTTAAATTAAACTTACTTTGAATTTTCTGGGAAAACTTTGTATGCCTCATGAAAAATAGTGCTGAAATCATCCGGATCGGGTAACATTTTCAGTGACTGATTGTATTTCTTTTTTCTTGTTCAGCTCCTGCTTCACATATTATTGATTTTCTTGATGTGTCATAGAAATTCTCTCAAACAACAAAATCGATAAAATAGGTAAATCGCTCGTGAAATTTAATTTTTATACTTATTCTTGTGTTACGCTTTCGACAGCAATATGCAGTAGTCGGCAGAATATATTGATAAATGCAATAAAAGCTGATACTATGCTGTTAATTTTAAACAATTCGCCAAAATCTGTCAGAAAATGACACAAGCGGTGAAAGATAAATGACATTCATCAGATGATATACCGTGCGTTCCACTAAGCGCTCACAACAATCAAAACAGTCCGTTAGCCGTTCCACAAAACGCCCACGGTCGTTGTGGTCGTGGCAAAAACATCACTCATGACGTCATTACTTTCGCTCCCGGCAAGCTCACAACGGACTGTCCGGACGTTGAGAATATTTCAGCGCAATTTTGAAACTAATTCGGAAATGTGACATTTAAAGCTTGGAGATGGCGACAAGAAATTCAGAGGAGCATAAATTTAGAGTATGATCTAGGTATGCAAGTAGACATGACATTTTCAAAATCTACAGTGTAATATGTGATAGAGAGTCAAGCACTTGAAATTACTTTTGAATTCGTCATCTGAATAACGATTAATCACATAATACGTGGCCCATGATTTCGCTTTTAACGATTATAATTTTGTAAAGTTGCATTCCACTGTTCATCTGAACACTATGAACTAGTTTCTGAAGAACTATTGCGACGCATCAACAAATATTAACCTCGCCATTCGTAATATTTACTTAAGCGCCCAAAAAGCTCTATAATCCATTCCTCTTGAATAACGCTCGCAAGCAAATGGAACGGGAAAAACTGCGGTCCAGATCGTTGTGAACACTTAGCGCTTAGTGAACACACTAATAAATGACAGTCATAGATGAGATTTCATGAAGTACCTAATACCCCGTTACTCCAGTAGCCTAATAAACTGAAAACAATGTTTTTCATTTATTTATTTTTTTTTGACAACGTCATCGACTGTTACATAATGTTAACCTACATGATATTATATTCAAATATTCAGAAAAAATTGTGAAAAGTGAACAAGTTTGCGAATTAGTAGTAGTATATGAAGTTGTGATTTTCATTGAGAATTTCTGTGAATAAGTCAAATCTGTATTCCTTCAAATAGTGGTGTTTTCATTCCAATTATGATACACTTATATATTTGAAAAGACGATTAAAATATGTTTTTCCGTTAACCAGCTGTCGCCCCCTTCAAATAACAACCCTAAAAGTCAAAACTTGTCGAATTAAATCTTAACGAGATCTTACCTTCCAACACGTTAAAATTCCTAGTTATACAAAGCATCGGTTGTTCCGGAGAGACGTGCATCTCCGGTTTCGAAAAAATTAAAGAAAAGCAGTAGTTTTCATTTTCATTACGAGTATTCAGAATGTATTTTTTTCCCATCATGAAAAAACACCTATCTGATTGATTAATGAAAACTATGATATGTCAGAATCACAAAGAAAAAAAAATTCAAGCAGTTTCAACTAACGAGATGAATGTTTCCTGCTTTCAGGTATGAATTCATAACGTATGCGAAGAAAGTTTATCATTCGAAGTTTCTACGAAATGTTTATGTAAATCATATAAACTTGAGAAAACGTGAGCTGGATCTACATCCGGGTATTTATTTTGAATAAGCGCTGCTTGCCTATCATCTATCAAAACAGCATTCCATCCGCTGGCTTTCGCTCCCGAGTAGTCCAACAGAGCTTTATCTCCAATGTGGAGACATTCTTCTGGCACCAGATTTTTCAATTTGGAAATGAACATAGCTTCTTGGAAAATTCTAGGATCTGGTTTTTCCATTCCAACATCGTAAGACGTCAGAACTAATTGAAAAAAGTGCCTGAGTTTCATGTTTATCAAGATGCTGTGAAGTCTTGGGTCAAAATTCGAAATGACTCCCATGGCCACACCTACAAAAAATAAATGCCAATAAGTCAGCCGTTCTCTAATCTATGCAAGGGATTTATGTATGTAGGAATTGACTTATTCTAAAAACTGCCATTACGATTTCATGTCCCCAATTCGAATGAAAACGTCGAGATAATATGTTTTATACATTGTGTATAACTATAATTAGTCCTGATGATCGCTTTCAGTAGGTCTACAAAATTAACAGAGCGGTAATTTAATTCACTTTGGCACACTCTGTGTATTTTTACAAATTACAGAGGCTTGAACCCCGAAGCCTATCCTGTACGTTCAAATAATATAAGCGTGCATTATCAAATCTTTCTTTGTCACTAGGCAATCAAACATCAAATAAATAATACAATGTAGGTTCTAGGTACACACTCAAAAATATTTTTACCTTTGCTCCGAATATAAGACAACAGATCCTTCACTCCGTAACATGGTTGCCAGCAAGCCGAACTTTTATAAACTTCTATCAGATGTGAAGCGACAGCATCGAGTTTTTTGTCATCCAAATCATACTTGGAGTCCTTGAAGGTTCCTTTCACCACCATATTCCACCAACGTTCCCATCCTAATCCAGTGTGAAGCCCGAAGTTTGGATGCTCTTTGGTCATTTTGCGCCAGTGAGCTTTGAAATTGGCGCTCAAAGTGTTGTTATCGCACAGAATTCCGTACATTGCCCCGATCTCCCCGTACTGTTGACTTGGTGATGATCGAAATTTCAGAAGTGTCCCAGTTACATCAAATGTTATCAAACGTAATCGAGATATTAACATTGTTAGTTATAATCGTGCAAGTTGAGAAACTAACGATTCACTATCAACTTTTGTGCAGCGAAATTATAATGTTCAAATTTTTGTTAGTTAATTTATAGCGACATTCGGAATGAAGACCAAAGTCTATGTTTGATTGCGTTGGGAAGGCAGGGACGGCTTCAGCTTATGACGACAGTTGATGTAAATACATATTTTGAGATTTTTGTGACGTGATATCATTTATACTTTGCAGTTTATAATGAGTTTAACTGAAAATCAGTTGCTTTTGGTCGGGAATATTATAATTATGTGGAATTTTGACAATCAATTTCGAATTCAATTTGGATGACATAGTATGAATGGACTGACCCGTTACTTGATGAAAATTAATAACACTACCCATGATAATTATCATGGATGACAGAGTTTCGCCGACTAGTAGCAAAATGCTATGATTATGAATCTGTCACTTTCTGGCACCTGTGCTGTAAATGGGTAGATCTACGTCAATAAAAGGATGAACTCGTGCCATGAAGTTGTTCTGACAATGAAATACAATGTGTGGGTAAACTTATTTATGCACGACTGAGCATAAAGTACCACTTTATTGCCCGGATTTGCGGGCGTAAAGTAGCACTTCAGCGCCCGCGGACTACTTTAATCGTTGACCAGGCGCTAAAGTGAATTTCAATCTCATATCGATAGAAATCTATATTCCGATGGTTTCAATAAATGCAAAATTATTGAAACAGATATCTGAATTATACAGTGCACATTACGAGTCGAAAATCCATCAACAACCATCATCAGACTATCAATATATCTATTGTACATTTGAAGCAGCTTTCAGCATGGAATAATATAACCACATGGAAGAAGGTTTTTGATATTTAGATTTTTCAGAAAATACGCAAGAAGTACACTCTCTGTGTACTTATTTTTTACATCATTCCCGTTGCACCACCCCACGAATTCTTCATACACTTTGTCGTATACTTTCTTGGATTTACTTGGCAATAAACTCAATTTCGCATCCTCAGCTGCTTCAGCTATTTCTGGTGGAGTACAATTCACACTTTCTGCATTGCTTGAATCCATTTTAAAATCACTAATAAATTATCTGTGATCACAAAAATTGACAGCAAATATGGCTACTAGCCTATATAATCTTATTTCGAAAAATTGGGAACCATGGGAACATTCATACCATCACTTCTTGATTTATTCTGTTTGAAGGCGATTGACAATGTTTCATGATGAATTTCATTAGTCCGGACTTCCATTGTCTAATATTATAGAAAATGATTTGAAATCCCTAAAAGAATCAATAAAAATTGAAAATTAAAAAGAATATTAAAAAACCCTGAAATGAAATTACAGTGAAATAAAATACAAGTTAAAAATAAAACAATTAAACAAGTTACTTCACGATGTTTCGATTGTTAGTATCAATCGTCTTCGGGTGTGAAGATTTCTACCGAGAAAGCTACGGTGTTTGCGAAACTCGTCTAGAAATTAAAATGTCTGTGAAAATTGTGTATTTATTATCATAGACAGCCAAAACAGCATCTAGGTTGTCTAGAACTATTCCAAACTAAGTTATTGCGTAACATATCGAAGAGGTAGTAACATTAATAAATATGCCACAATTTGGCGTTATTTTGCGGTGCTTACTCGTCGGGAGAAGTTCACGTATTGGTACTCTGATCGCCCTGTGATCTGGAGCGTTCAGTCAGATTCTTCTAACAATCCTAGAGCGGCTTAGGATTTAACGACCATAGTAATACCAAACTGCAGATACTGAATCTACAAAATAATTGTTTCTGCAACATAGACCCAGTGTAGTTAACTGTCCCTCAACATGCCATTATAAAACTGTCACAGAATAAGTGAGTATTGTTTGAAATTGTTGTGGCCGGTAAATGACCACAAGATTTCAGATACGTTCGAAAGTTTAGAAATTGGAAAAGTAGAATCAGAAAATTTACATTCTAAACAGCACATGGTTTACTATTCTAATTATCAATTACAAGTAGAGAATACATAAATAGTAGGTATCATAATACGTAGTCATTAATGTTTAAATAGAAGTAAAACACAATAATTATTACTTAGATACTCATCTGATAACCTACATTTGATGCCCATGATAATCGAAGACGATTGTGCGTCCATATTTATGTAAAAGCTCTCAGCATCATCTCCTGATGATTTCAACTTGGTTGGCAAAACATCGAGAGACAGTATTTTTGTTCCGGCTGAACCAAAAAAATGCTTTTTCTTTCTTAGGCCCGGAAAATTTCAGCCCATGTGTTATGATTTGTTTTTATACTTCTGTATACTCGCTAAAGTACATAATTATCATTACTAGTATCGAAATATAAATCAGAACCCTAAACACCAGTTCCATTTAGCAATTATCACCCCTTCTGTTATCTCATTCCATTCCAATAATCCCATCTAGCATGTCTCAAGGAGTTGTGACCTATTTATCCAAACACCGTGGCACCCTGATTAAACTCACTCCTCTACATTTCCCGCAGGAAAAGCTGGAAAAGGCACTCCTGAGCACCTTTTAACGCTTGCGTCAGTTTCCATCAGCTGTTTGATGTATAATCAGGCAATTGGGGTCTGACGTGTCGCGATCCGCGGGGGTGATATTTGCTTTCGGATCGCGCTGGAGTGTGTTTGGGCTGTTCAGTTCTGTGATGTGTTTGCAAATTGGGTTCCCGGTTGCGGAAAGACAAAACTCGGGATCGAATTGGGATGCGGCTGGCGACGAGGACTTTTATTGTTTTCGTCGTGTTGAAATCCAGTCTTCCGCCAATTTCGACCAAATTTGCGCAGGAAGGTAAATGATATAAAAAATCCGTTCGTGTTTCCGGTAAAATTTTGGTTTTAAGCAAATGAATTGCATTCGAGGAAATTGGTATTGGGTAAAAGCATATAATTCTGTCATGATATGCATTTTGATGAAGTAATTTGCAAAAATGGTGTATTTTTAAACCAAAATAGGTCTCTAGTTAGGAATTGAACTAGTAATTAGTGGGGCTTTGCAGTAAATGAAAGAGTACTCTTTAAAGTTTGTCCAAGCTTTCAGAAATTTAATAAATTGTGTCCATCATCAGGGATGCTACAAAGTTGTGCGTGTAAGTAATATTAAGATATCCATTTATATCTTAATATTACTCATACGCACAATTTTGTAGCATCCCTGATGATGAAAACAATTTATTTAATTTCCGAAAGCTTGGACAAACTTTAAAGAGTACTCTTTCATTTGCTGCATTTAAATGATGCAACTAATTTTCCTTTATTTTCAGTATATAACTTTATAACTTCTATTTATTATATGCTAGCGCTTTCGATAGCTGGTTGTGCCCTCATCTTCAAAGCTCTACTCAAACTGAACGTCTCATCCTATTGTTTGTTCTTTTATGCGGTCAGAACGCCTTAGTTCAGGTACTTCAAGTAATGTAGGTAAATTTATCTGTATTTGGGTTACATGTGTTGGGTTTTCTTTAGGTTCACTGATCCAAAGGCACGACGAGCACAAAAAGGCATACATAAACCCAATAATATATAAATCAAACCTAACGCAAGAAATCTGCTTTGCTGCTGTGAAACTTCGCTAAACACTCAATTGGAATATCTTCACGACAATGTTTTTGCTTGAGTGTGAGCAAACGCGGCACCCACCTTGCACACTAGTTTGAATAGTTTAAAATAGGTTAGGTTTAAAATGTTAACCAGCTATCGTACCCCTACGAACGACAACCCTCAGAAGTCGAGACTTGTGCGAGCTAAGGACTAACGAGGTCTTACCTTTTACCGTGTGATTCCTAACAGCTTTCTCATGTTTAAATTGCACACAAAATGCCCACTAAGTCTGCTAGCTCGCGCACTTTCAGTCGACGATCATTCAGTACCGCTTTGTGGATTTTCTTCACCGTTTCCGAAGTCGTCACATCATTTGGTCGACCACTACGATGCTCGTTTTAGCAGTTCGTACGACCTCGTTTAAACTCTTCTACCCAATATTTTACTATTGTAAACGAAGGAGCAGACTCACCCAGAGTAGAATCCAGTTCAGCTTTTATATTGGTTGGGCTGAAGCCTTTCAAATAAAAGTATTGTACTACATACCTAACGATGACCAATTTTGTCTATTTTCACAAATTCACCGAAAGCGTTCGCTATTGATGGCTGCCAAACAAATACTGAACAACACAGCGTCTTCAAACTTGAAACATATGTTTCATACTTGTGATGCACTGTTTGGAACCCTTGGTGTAGTAATGAATATTACTGGAGTTTTTTTCCAACACCAAACCGTTATTTTAACACCTCGACACGTGTTTCGATCACCAAGTGATCATTTTCTAGAGGAAGATGATCACCAAGGGTTCATTTTCGATATAGACTTCCAATTGTTTATTGTTTTATCTGTAGTAATATCGACTTCAATGAATTATAACTTTCTTTCGAATTAAGAATGTCTTACCCTACCAGCGCTTTGTACAATGAATTAATTGTCACCCGTCACCCGGTATATAATAAACGTAGAGAAATAAACAAAAAACAATAACTCATTTTATTGTACTTTCGATAGAACGGGTAATGTACGGAAAACCATTTTTTCGAAACCAGTGTCAAATTAGCTGGATTTTCTGAGACTTTCCAGGATTGGTCTCCACTATGAAGTGAATGTCTATCCGGCTGCAATTAAATCAACAAGTGGCCAATTCTGCATTTGATACTCCTGAATTATAATATTTATATACCTAACAACATATGACGACTTTAATAAAATACTTTTTATTCGAAAGTTATTATTAGTGCATTTTCCTTAGAGGTGAAGCTGAATAGAAAATAATTAACAATCCCAAGTGCGCCATAAAACGAAAACGAATGCTTCCAGCACTAGGTAATTGGTAGCATAAACATTTTTGGTTAATTAGGTTTTAGCAATAATACTTGCCCCGCCTTTATAAAGTTATTGAAATTGTAATGGTAGCACAAGGATATAATATGACAAGTTTTTCTTTTCACATATAGTCAGTGAGCATACTTGAAGGAACAATTTGTTCAGGCCAAATTTCGGATATGCGGTTAATTACCTCGTTCACAGGCAGATGGGGCGATGACAAACCTGTTGTTTGTTGTTTGCTTCAGCCTAGTTCGAAGAATGATACTCTAAAGGAATTCCATTTTCAATTATCGGAAATCATCAACTTTATGTTGATGATAGACACTACCTTGCACTGACGAGTGGCCAAACAGCCCGAAACCGGTCTGCAAGTGTGTTCCAATAATTGAAAACCATTGCGGCAGTTGTATTGCTAACAGCATATGCAGGCTACAGTGTAGGGAATTTAGACTGGCCTGAACAAATTGTTCCTTCAGATGATTCGTTGACTTTTTGAAACGTCATAAAATAGTTTTGATGACATGAGTAGATTTAACTCATTCATGACATAACGTTGTAATTTTATGAATGAATTGAGTGCTGCATCTTGTAATGTTATCCAGAGTGGTAATGAAAAGGCAATGAGGTATATGCCGTATTCCGAAACATTGATGTCCGTCATTGAGGATAACAGTGTTTCCTGTAAGTGAAATTCTACCTCTTTCATATACTACATTGTGTAGCAATCCTGTAAATGATATCTGATTCAATTTCATAACGAATGTTTAGAGTACCAACAGTAGAAAAAGTGTTTATTGTATAATTTCATGTTTATATAAAAGTAGTTGTTTCGAATTTTTTTTCTTTTCTAATTCAATCTTCATATGTTTATAATAAGATAATACTTGTNCTTGTAAACGGGAAAGAATTCTCATTTTCAGAACTTTCGTTTGATTCCTGCACGCCTCCGCAATTGGCGCTAAATGGATCGGAAACGGAAGTAGGCGAGAACCGGATCCGAAAGGACTACACGCACGTTCGAGAGGTAAAATTCTCCGGATCCATAGGTCCTTTGGGCGAACAAAGACTTTGCAAAATTAAATGTATCGCCGGCCAATGGGTCGGACCTCTTTGCATCGACCAGCAGGGTGAGTTTGATAACTCTATACACTCCTATATGTGATTGAATTGGCAGAACACAGAATAATTTACAAAACGGCAACACGTATTTCGCTATACAATAACTTCTTCTGGCAGGTCCATACATATTGTATGCAAAAATCTCATACGTGTTTATTCTGAACACGCCTGATGAAGCTATATACGTAAACAAGTCTATATGTGATGGATTTGGTGATAATCCATAACGTAAGGTACTTGTAAGATTCCATACTGAACACGTGTATAACTATAAAATAGCTTCTTCAGGCGTGTTCAACTAAACACACCTGAGGAAGCTATTATATAATGTAAACACGTGTTGCGGTTTCATAAACTGTTAAGTAGAAATATCACACGTTTTTATAATGAACAGGCCTGAGGAAGCTATTGTATAGATTAACAGACCTATATGTGATGGAATTAACCGATATTTGATGAAAATTCATAATGTATTCAAGTACTTTCTTGTGAAATTCCATACTAAACACGTATTCAACTATACAATAGCTCCCTCAGGCGTTTTAAAATAAACACGCCTGAGGAAGCCACGCTATAGTGTAAACACGAGTTGCGGTTTCATTAACTGTTCAGTGAAAATTTCACACGTGTTCACAATGAACCCGCTTGAGGAAACTATTGCATAGTTAAACTATATGTGATAGAATTGACCAATATTTGGTGAGAATTCATAATGTTTTCAAGTACGTGTTCAATAAAATAGCTTTCTCAGTCGTGTTCAACTAAACATGCTCGAGAAAGCTATTGTATAGTTAAACAGCCATAACGTATTCAAGTACTTACTTGTGAGATTCCATACTAAACACGTATTCAACTATACAATAGCTTCCTCAGGCGTGTAAACTTATGTAAACATGAGTTGCGGTTTCATAAAATGTTCAGTGAAAATCTCACACGTGTTCACACTGAATACGCTTGAGGAAGCTATTGTATATAGTTAAACTATATGTGATAGAATTGACCAATATTTGGTGAAAATTCATAACGTATTCAAGTACGTGTTTAATAAAATAACTTTCTCAGGTGTGTTCTACTAAACACGCTTAAGGAAGCTATTGTATAATGTTAACATGTGCTGCGGTTTTATAAACTATTCAGTAGAAATATCACTGAACACGTCTGAGGAAGCTATTATACATTCGAATAGCCCTATATGTGATTAAATTGACCGATAGTTGGTGATAATCCGTAACGTTTTCAAGTACTTTCTTGTGAGATTCCATACTGAACACGTCTTTAACTATACAATAGCTTCCTTAGGCGTGTTCAACTGAACACGCCTGAGGACGCTATTGTATAGATTCAACACGTGTTGCCGTTTTATAAATTGTTCAGTGAAAACATCACACTTTTTATACTGAACACACCTGAGGAAGATATTGTATAGTTGAACTGTCTCCTATATATGATGGAATTGACCGATATTTGGTGAAAATCCATAACGTAAAGTACTCTCTTGTGAGTTTGATTGTATACTGAACACAACTGAGAAAGTAGCACAAGCAGCAGTGAAGATGAAAATTTGTATTCAGATAGTGATTGATTAAAGTTTATTTTTGGATAAGTGTATCATTATATAACATTTTAATTAACTGAACTACTACTACCTATAATACTTAATAAAATATGAAAAGAAATTACAAAGAAGTTATGTTCCATTTGCTTTCCTAATGAGATCTAATTATAGGTACGACACTGGCCGGCAAGGGACTTATCGTAATCCAATAGTAATTTAGTTGGGAGAGATTATACCTGTGCGATCTTTCGCCATCAGATAGATATAATTTATTTGACATCGTTTACAATAAAATTATTGTTTGATGAAGGTCAATGGTAGAACAAATAAAGTTAAAATATCATACATACATAAAACGAGAGACTGAGAAAATATGCTTCAATATATACATGATATGTATCATGGTTACAAAGCTTTCATTATAAAAAATAGAACAATATAATAATCGTGAAATTATTTGCCAGAATCTCTGTTAATACGACTGAATTCATAAATTAATTTCTTATATTTCAGATAATGGTCGTTTTCAACCATTGTTCAGGAACTGCAAACTTGAATATATAAACCCCCATCTCATTGTCAATTTTCGAAATGTGACACTTCATGTAAGTATAGATCAATTATAAACAAAAGGAAAACGTATAAGCGTAGGAAAAAATCTGTCGAGAAAAAAGTAATAGGATGAAATTATTGAAACTGTTGAAAATATGCACACTGTTCAAAGCAATCAGGCGTCGAAATATTAAAAATTCGATTATTACGACTACTTGTCATCCAGATCTATACCCGATTGAAACTCAAGGTGTCACAAAAAAATTTTGCTGATAGCAATTCACGTTTGAGTTTGGTTGGTTTTCTAGAAATATGAATACTTAGTATTGGTTGTTGGAAAATCAATGATTTATCTATGCATTAATTGATTCATTTAAATGTTGTGAACGAACTGTAGGAATTATTCTCTTATTATTTTCATGCAGTAATAAACAGATAATATTGTTGTAAATCATGCCCGAAAGAAAATAACGCCGGCCGCCACTGGTAGCCATTAACCAATGGCACAGATTATCTGTGCCAATGGTGACGTAGCTAAGAGCGCGCGAATGTACGCCACTCGAGAAGCAGCGAGAATAATGCTACCGACTTCGACAGAACTTCGGCGAAATTTCTACGGCATTCGATTACGATATTTAAACACTAGCTGTGAGCATATCGACACAGTCAAGTGGAAGCTACAGTGTGGTACGCGAAGTGATCCAGTAAGACGATAGACATTGAAACAATAGTTGAAGTGTTTGTTGTATTTAAAGTGAAGTAAAGTTTCATTATTCAGTGTAGTCAATTATTGGCGAACCCACGGGGAAAAACGAAACAATATCCAGTACCGAAAAATAAAATAAAAACATATTAACTTGACGAAGAACTTGCGTCTCAATGAACAATCTCGAGTGTCATTGTCAATAACAATAAAATCAATAATAATATCCGGGTTGTATAACAGTTTGGTAATTGAATTCAATTTATTACTGATAGCAAATTTTTTTGGAACATTTTCTGGTACTTCCAAATTGAGGTCTCGCGTTTTTTGTGCAGGTTAATACTGAAAGTATATAACTTTCAGATATGGTTATATAAATTCTGTTTCCTCATCACTCCCAATAAATCAATAGTTTTATTATGAATTGTCTTCAACTCTTTCAAGTTTTTCTTTCAAGTCTCCTGGATGGACCTTTCCCCATGGAGCAAAACTGCACACCAGATGTACGGAGTTAGGTCTATACAAACTCCTGGGCACTGCCACTCCCCAATGCCAAAACGGAGCCTGGTCGTCAAGACTGCCATCTTGTGTACCCACCACGCTTTTGACGAATTTCACAGGTAATTTTTTTTTATAAATGATATAACTAACTCAATAAATACTCTAAAATAAGGCACACATTGGAGAACCAACTAGATAGCCAAAGATTCGAAACAAAGAGCAGAACTGTAACATTCTTCTCGAGGAACTCTTTCACCAATTAAGTTGGAGTCATCAGGAGATGAACTATTCTATGGCTCCTTATGAAACTCACTTGGTTGGTAAAACGCATGGTATCGATCTTATCTCAGAAGTTACACGTACAAAATCATAGTGGTGGTGTTTAGAAGCAGTGCTTCTTTTGGATTTATTCTTCACCAGAGGTTCCACATCTTCCTGTCAACCCAAAATCACCATAGATCTTGTTGATATCCGCTGACTAACCCATGATATCGATCTTATCTCAGAAGCTACACGTACAAAATCATAGTGGTGGTGTTTAGAAGCAGTGCTTCTTTTGGATTTATTCTCCACCAGAGGTTCCACTTTTTCCTGTCAAACCAAAATTACTATAGATCCTATTTCACTAGTTCGGACTTCCATTGTCTAATGGTGTTTAGAAGCAGTGCTTCTTTTGGACCTATTCTTCACCAGAGGTTCCACTTCTTTCTGTCAACCCAAAATCACCATAGATCCTGTTGATATCCGCTGACTAACCCATGATATCGATCTTATCTCAGAAGTTACACGTACAAAATCATAGTGGTGGTGTTTAGAACCAGTGCTTCTTTTGCATTTATTCTTCACCAGAGGTTCCACTTCTTCCTGTCAACCCAAAATTACCATAGATTCTGTTGATATCCGCTGACTAACCCATGTGGTGGTGTTTAGAACCAGTGCTTCTTTTGGATTTATTCTTCACCAGAGGTTCCACTTCTTCCTGTCAACCCAAAATCACCATAGATCCTGTTGATATTCGCTGACTAACCCATGATATCGATCTTATCTCAAAAGTTACACGTACAAAATCATAGTGGTGGTGTTTAGAAGCAGTGTTTCTTTTGGATTTATTCTCCACCAGAGGTTCCATTTCTTCCTCTCAGCCCAAAATTGCCATTTATTCTAACCCATGATAACAATCTTATGTTAGAAGTTATATGTCCAAAATTATAGTGGTTCAACTCGATAGACCAAGGACTAGATTTCTCAACAATGTTTTTATACGGAACGCAGTCTTTGTGGTATTAACGAATAAATTAGCTCAACTGGAATATTTCGTGATTTTTCAAACTCTAGAAAATTATTATATTATTCAAAATATGTTTTCTAACCGAACGTTCAAAACTAGAATCAAACAAATTCATCAATACGATTAATACGTAAATAAAACTATTACCAGAAGGAAGCAAGGACTGTAAAGAAATTTCAACTTTGGGAAAATTAAATAACTTCCATTAAACTAAGATTGCGTTTTAATGAAGGAAAGTCAGTTACTGCAGGAGTTTCGAAACTACTGGGGAAGGGAAATGAAAAATAAATTTCAGGTTTGTAATTAAGTCCTGAAACATTAACGATCCGTTTTCGCGAAAAAGTTCCTGGCTCTTTATTTCTTTTTGAACATCATTTCAAATACTTTGTCGACAATGAATACAGTAAAGTAAAGGAAACAAAAAATGAAAATATATGGTATTTAATCGAATAGAACTGGCCGATACTTAGTGAAAATCCATATTTAAAAAACTAATGATTAGTTTTTTTTATATGGTATTGAAGTGAAACTTCATTGTTAGAGTTTTGCTAAACAGTTCACAAAACCGCAACACGCGTTTCACTATACAACAGCTTCTTCAGGCATGTTCAATATTAACTAACCCAAATTCTACCCAATTAGTGCTTCTTATATTCTCGTACATTGATAATTTGATTTGACTTTTGCTACCAACTTAATGGCTGATAATTTTTCGTTCTAGGAAACTAATTTCTTTGGAAATAATAAAACTATTGATTTCTAAGCATTCCAAACCTTTCTTTTCAAAACGTCATAGTCGTGATTGAACTAATACCCATCCCTCTGCCAAAAGACGGTTCGCAACAAACGTGAAATTAATCTTCACATTCAAAAAAGCACTTCTGGGCACTTTAAAGTCTCGCCATATTGAATTCAGAGAGACATCTTTTCATTTTTCGTAATCTTTTTGGCAAACCCTCTTATTTGATACCCATATCATGGAAATGCAATAAAATAACAAGTCTGCTATCTTGGGAGGTCCGCCATATTGGATTTAGATTGTCATTTTTTTATTCTTTTCAGCAAACCTTTTCATTTGATACCCATATCATAGGAGTCAGTAACAAATAACTAGTACGACATCTAAAACAGTCCACCATATTGGATTTAGAATGACGTCAATTAGCAAAATTTCAGCTCACTTGGTTGAACGTAACTATTTTAAAATTCATTCATCCATTTCCTGAAGACGGTTGGTGAAAAACTCCTGTCGACCATTTCTAAAGTGTGAAAGCAGTGTTTGTATTGGTTGGTCGCTCCTTGAAATATCATGATCACATAACTTTTATAGGATACATTAGAAATGCATGCTTCTTTCAATTCATTGAGAAAATGACGAAATTGAAGATTCAAATCACACTATCGTTTTTCAGAGGACTCGCCACCAACTATACTCATCAAAATACCCTCCGGTTCAGCATCTGTCGAACCAGGAGGAGAACTTGCGGTTTACCCAGGAACAACTCTTCATTTCGAATGTTTATTCTCTAGAAGAATCGGTTCTCCTGATTGGACGTGGACTTCTCCGTTGGGTCAATATCTCACAGGTAAGACAAACATTATGTAAAAACGATCACTTTTGGGTGTCGCCCTTCTGTTCCACAATCTCTATTCATTTCTAGATTGTAGCAACAGAAAAAAACAATATTTATACATCAAAGATAAATCTTTTCTAGTTTTGTTGATTTTTCCACAGAGTTGGAAGTTAATAATTATTTAGGAGGCACTGAACACTTTATTGATATAACACTTGGTATTCCTCGCCCCACTGTTTCAGTGGCGGTTCCTTCGTAAGGTCCCAAAATCTGAAAAGAGCATAACAATTCAAAAAATTGGTTTAACATTTTTCAAATTAGGTGATAGGTAGGTATAGGCCACAATAAAATCGCGAGGGTTTCATATGAAAGCCTCTATATTAAATATAATGCCCATTATTATTGAGACATTTATCGTATCGTAGGACCAGGGCATTTGTATGCCATCAATAAAAAAGGTTGCCGCGTGATTAGACAACCATTACAGCATGGTCGCTTTACTTCGTCGTCATCGTTGCGGCGTTGCCCATTCAGATTCGTTTTCAAGTGGTAGACACTCGGCACTAGATCGGGAATGGGTGGTCGGAGTGGTCCGATTGTTCCCAGCCAAATGACGGAAGGTCGCTAACTTTGTTCACCGTGTTTCCACCTTAAACATCACTGATTTGGTGATGCATTTCAGGTGTTTCAAGCGTATAGCACTCAAAAAACAAGTAACATTTTAAACATACATAAACAAATCTAAACACAGTCGACTGGCTCCGTAATGGTGTTCGTGACTTCCCCTCCTCAGAGATTTAGGTTAGCGCATGCGATAAACGACGACCCGAGCGCTGCGGCGGCGTAATTTGAAAACGGTAATTACTTTCAACTCATGCGTTGTATTCTTTTATCATCTTATAATTTATGCGCAACTGCAGTGAAGATATCTTGTAAGATGAACTTTTCTCAAATTATTTTTATCCAATAAAGTTGCTACAAGCTCTCCATACGTGTGAGATCCCAACTTTGGGAATTCTTACTCTCAGAAAATTTCAATATATTTTCAATGCATTTCCTTCACCTAACTCAACCTCTATATTTCTAGGATGGGCAATTGCTGCCGAAGAACGAGATACAAAATACAGACTGTCAATTTATTACGCCAAATCCCAGGATTCTGGTACATTCACGTGTGCAACGCCAAGAGGAATCACCAACAGCATCACTCTCCATGTTGCAGGTATTCCGTTACTCATTGAAAATAAGTATTGTTTGAAATTAAATGAAAACCAGTAGCAGATATATTAATCAGTCACGTTTCTTGGAAAATGTATGTGAGGGAATTCTTTATCGATAAATTTGATTACCTAAACTCCTAAACCATTATTTGTGCATGTGGGCTCTTAAATAAATGCAACTCTATTGAATTAACGTCTTATTGAAAAACACTAGTAATTATTACCTACTTCAATAACACTACCCGACTATTACACGCCTGTAATCATGCAATCACTTTTGAGCCTAACTCAAGTTGCCAACTCCTTAAATTACCAGAGCAAAGTTTCCAAAGTTTTCTCTACCCCTTCCTTTTCTTCACTTTCCCAATCGATTTTAGTGCCATTTGTCCTCCATTCCTTAACATAATGATTCATCATAGCATTCAGTACAATCTCGAGATTTGATAGCTGACAAATATAGCATACCAAAAGATCCGGTTTAGTGACAACATTTTCTTATGGTAGGTATTTTGAAAATTCCTGCTACGGCCATTTATCAAAATGAAGTATCGCCCCACCCTAACACTCCTGTATTTTTCTGTTTTCATGTTTTTGAACATTTTGCATTTATATAAAAATTGTTTCTTGGTTATACAGCAATCTATTGTGAGCCTGTGTCTGTCTCTGGAATGCATATCAGTGTTAGCGTTGGTGGAACTCGTTTGGGAAACACAGCTAAATTTCAATGTCCGGTGGGCTTCAAAATTTCCGGCGAGCCTACCCTGACTTGCCAGGCGTCTGGTGAGTACATTTTTATAAATATATGAATTTTCATTAAACGTTTTCTATCTTTGAATTCAAATAAAACAAAGGGTGAGATATCATCGAATTTTGTTATTCGTTTGAAAGACATTGTTGGGTCCCAATTTTGGTTTTTGGGCTTGCTGGCCCCCTTCTAGTGGACTTATACTATTAAATAACGATGTAGGTAACACACTTTATTCTGTCACACCTAGTTTACAGATTTCACAGAATGTCGAATACGACAATTGATTTGATCGGTGATATTCTCCACAATAAACTAACTAGACCTTTCTTACGTTATGCTTAAACCGTACTGTGTGAACGAAGGTACTCTTCCAGCGAGGACCCACGCTATTGGTTCCCGAGGGTAGGTATCCCTTAACAACCAGACAGACAATTACACAGTGATGTAACAGTGTTTAGGAAACTCTATTTAAATTTTATTTATATTCTCAACAGACATATTGATGCCATTATGTGTGGAATATAACATCGTTCAAATGTCCGCCATGGCTTCTCTGGGTAGAGCGCATAGAGCGCATCTAATTTTCCATGATTCTGGCGCATAAATCAGGCTGAGTTTAATTGATGGCATGTGTTATGTTGGCTTTGAGGAGCACTGTGGTTTGTGGTTTATGCGCATACACCTGCGACTTAAGAAACCCCCACAAGAAAAAGTCGAACGGGGTCAAATCGCATGATCTCGGTGGCCAGTTCACATCACCTCCACTAATCCTCCACTCCACGCAGAATATCCAAAGTGACATGAGCTGTTTGGCACGTAGCGCCGTCCTGTTGAAACCATGTGTCGTTGGTGTCCATATCATTCGATTCAGTTAAAAAGAAGTTGTAATAATCGATTCATAGTGCTCGCATTTGATAGTGATAGCCTGGCCAACGTTGTTCTCGAAGAACTTTGGACTAATGACACCGCCAACCCAAAATCCACACCAAAGAGTGACTTTTTCTGGATGAATTGGACGCTCTTAGATATCATGTGGATTGGTATCGTTTCAAATTCGACAATTTTGTTTGTTCTTATACCCATTCATCCAGAAACATCCAGAAATGGGCCTCCTCCCTGAAGATTATTTTCGATGAAAATTAGGGTCAGTTGCCAACTGCTCCAGAGCCCATTCAGCGAACACATATCGATTTCTATGGTTGTTTACATTCAGTACATGGCTCTCTTGAATTTTGTACGGATGCAGGCCCAAGTCCCGACGTAAAACTCGCCAAGTCATGGCCTGCGAAAGACTGAGTTCTTGTAGCGACGCGAAATTGACTACTTTGGATTCTTCTGCACACTCTCACAGAAAGCGGCGATGTTTTCGGCAAATCTTGCGTTTCGTCGACGTACGGGTGTTGGTCGTTCGTTTACTAAACCAGTGGACTCAATTTGACAGATGTAGCTTCAACAAGATGTCCGTTATCAATTGTCTAATTTCGGAAGTTCCTGTTGGAAGACCCTGTATGTTGCACATATTAGTTTTCTATTTCTCAAAAAACCAACCCATTATGATAAAAATATCACTATCATTGTTGAAATTCATAAACTTAACAGACACAGTAGGTAGTTATTGAGCTTTGGAAAATATTCCATATTTTTACCCACTGCGCGGATAGAAATTTGAAACTCGTCGTTGAGGTTTTGTTTGTAGTAAAATTGTAGATTCTGCATCAAAAACACAATTTTCAACAATGACCCTTTCAGTACAAAAGAAATTATTGTAATGTGAAGGTTCAACAGAAATTCATAAAATTTAATTTTTTTTAATAATTACTCTGTAATAACTGCCATTGTGGTGGTTAACGTAAAATATCATTTTATTCATAAAGATTGAGGTCGATCACCCGGTTCTTCGATGTCGATATTGTTCCAGTTGAAAAAGCGCTCGAACTACTTTATGACTGTCGGACCTTCGAGCGTCGTTGTGATCATGTTCAAGTAGGGCTAGACTGAACAAATGAATATATTGCAATAAATTGATGGATGTAGCCAATGATCATACGCTTGGGAAGGTTGAAAAACGCTGAGATGGGGTTTTTGTGGCTAGCTTGGCTGACGCGAGGGCTTGGAAATGGTTTGGGGGAAACACAGAAAGTCAGTCACCGGATCCCGTCGAGACGAGATCGGGGGTCTCGTCCCTCAGCCTTCGAGGCTGAAGGAAGTGGCCTAAATAGGGGAGTTATTTTGTTTGTAAGCGCGTGGTGCAAAATTTAAGGAAAATCGGTAGTGAAATCATAAACCGGTAATGGGTACAGGGGAGTTTGAAATTAAAGTGTTGGTGTTGAAGACACACTGGGTCAACGGAACCTATGGTTGACTATGAACCACCCAAAGAGGCGTGAGTGTATGTTGTTTTACTAACCAGTTGATATTGAGAGAGAGTTCACATATTTATTTTGTCTGAGTCCACTTCTTATTTGCAAAGAGGTTACATATTGTTGGGGTTCCTAGTGCGGGTTGTTATCTAGTGTTCACGTTAAAATTACAAAAAAAGGGCGCAAATGTAAAGTTATACACCACTCTCCCTGAAGTAAAAGTAAAACCGAGTTGGTGGGTTTGTAGTTATTCAACAGGTTGAATTAATAGTAAATAGCATAGTAAAATTGGCGGCGTTTCCTTTGTTCTATTTTCGTTTACTTTTATAGAATTCAACATTTTCGTTTTATATAAGATTTTACACGTTGTTTTTGAGTAGAGTGAGATGAAGTTAAGAGAACAAAAACAAATTAAAGACTTTTTGTCAATGTATCGAGAAGAGAATAACATTTTGAGCATTTTAACTAAGATTAAAATTCAGTTCTGAAACCACATAATGAGAGAGAATATAAGTAGGTATACAAAATGACCAGCTTTCAAAAAGACCGGCCTTCGTGCGATCAACACGAGCCCTACAGCCTTCTCGGAATTGCCCAACATCCAAATTTTGTTGTGGAGAAATCTGCATCTGGTCACAGCAGCTGCCAAAATTGATTTAAAAAGATAAAAATTAATCAGAAAGGAGCATTCATAACAACTCCACTATTACTAACCCATTCAAAAGCCTTCTCCAAGAATAAATTTGTTGAAATTTCGTAACAAGATTCCACCACATTTGTAAATCCTTAATGAAAACTCCTGAACAAACTATTAAATCGGACTATTTACACATTGTTCAAAGGTAAATGGTCTGCGCCCGTCCCAAAATGCGAGTTGGTCAAATGTCCTCCACTGGACTCCGCCGAAGGCCTAGAAGAACCCCATTTACAGCTAGAAGAGCACAATAATAGCTACGGAGGAAGATCGATCTTCAGCTGTGCGTGGGGCTACAAGTTGTTGGGGCCCCCCGGAATTGAATGCGAGCTCTCCGGTAATTGGTCGGGTCCACTGCCGAAGTGTGTTCGTAAGTAGATTTCTTAATCAACAATGACTAGGTATTTGTATTTAAAAAAAATAAAAAGTCACATTTTCATGTGCAAAAAAATCAACTACAACCTCAACATAGCAGTTTCGTTCGTTGTTGGGAGAGAGAGATAATGAATCTTGACTAGTCTGATTAGTCTTGTACTTTTGTATAAAACTCCAATGTCGAAAAATAAAGTGTCTATCTGAGAAAATAAATATTTCGAAATCAAAATTTTGAAACGTTCACCTCTGCCAACGTTCCCCACAGTAGGATTTGGCCTGGTGGCCGGGTAATCCATTGAATTATATTCGACAGAAATGTATGCAAGTTACCTTCCAAAAGAACGAACGACAAGCGTTCGTTCATCAGGATCACGAGTAGACCACCTATACAGACCGGTTTCGAGATACTACGGTTCTTCAGAGCAGAATAGATCCGACTCAGCAATTCGTCTGGGACTTGAATGATTTCAAATGTGGCTCGACTGCATGTATGAAACATTCATCTCAGAGAAAGATTTGTCAACTAGTAACAACTCCATCTCGTGAACAAAGTACCAAGCACACGGATGCTTGGGGCGTATATTTTATTTTTTAATGAATACGTTGAAAAAAGGCAGATTTATTTTCAGTTCTTTTTTTGGGCAGATCAAAAGCGTCAAAACAAATGCAGTACAACAATTACTAGGTATTTGTATTAAAAAAATTAATTTTCATTTTCATGTGCAAAAAAATCAACTACAACCTCAACATAGCAGTTTCGTTCGTTGTTGGGAGAGAGAGAGATAACGAATCTTGACTAGTCTGATTAGTCTTGTACTTTTGTATAAAACTCCAATGTCGAAAAATAAAGTATCTATCTGAGGAAATAAATATTTCGAAATCAAAATTTTGAAACGTTCACCTCTGCCAACGTTCCCCACAGTAGGATTTGGCCTGGTGGAAAACAACTACTTCCCCGGGCAATCCATTGAATTATATTCGAAAGAAATGTATGCAAGTTACCTTCCAAAGGTACGCTGATGAACGAACGCTTGTCGTTCGTTCATCAGGATCACGAGTAGACCACCTATACAGACCGGTTTCGAGATACTACGGTTCTTCAGTGCAGAATAAATCCGACTCAGCATCGTCTGGGACTTGAATGATTTCAAATGTGGCTCGACTGCATGTATGAAACATTAATCTCAGAGAAAGATTTGTCAACTAGTAACAACTCCATCTCGTGAACAAAGTACCAAGCACACGGATGCTTGGGTCGTATATTTTATTTTTTAATGAATACGTTGAAAAAAGGCAGATTTATTTTCAGTTCTTTTTTTGGGCAGATCAAAAGCGTCAAAACAAATGCAGTCAGTAACTAGGTTTTCTTTCTACTGAAGCTTTTGACCGTTATTTTCGGATCTCGTCTTCATCTTTCGGGCATAGTATGAACACCGGAGTTCTTTGGTCTCGACCTCGGTCCAATGTGCCTTTTCCTAAAGTTTCCACACTATCTCAACGATTTCCTATATTCTTCCCATCGTTTCTTATTCTATCATATCCTGAATCAGATCTACTTGTAGTTATAGTAATTTCAGGGTGTTGCGTATATCAATAATCTAAGGCTCTAGCATCCTCACTGTTGAGTTTCAGTCTCCAGTTGGAAACTCCTTAATTTTTTCAGTTTTCTCTTTGGGAGAGTTTTTGTCTCTTCCCTGGATCACTATTTTGAATTTTCCACAGATATCACTTCACCACTAGTGTTTTAGTTACTTTCCTGGTCTGCTGAGTACTCTGGGAAGTCGACTGGCATTCCAAAGGTCCCGTTTGAAATACCTGATAGGGCCAAATGGTTCGATTCATTATTCGGCACTGTTTTGAATGGATCTAATAGGCAAGGGTCATAACTAGCCATTGAGAGTACGACAAGTTGCTAATTTGATGTTGCTAACTTAGCTTAGCTTTCTTAGCAAGGGTCATGATTAGCCATTCAGAGTACGACAAGTTGCTAATTTGATGTTGTTTTCTTAGCTTAGCAACGTTTCAAATGTAATTCTACGAAATTTCATTACTGATCTCCTCAAAATTGTACAGTGACTATGTAAAATATAAGACTTAAAATTTCTTTGGTACTTAGTTGTTTAACAAGTTCCATACGAAAAAAACTTCTTTAACATAATCAAAAAATATAACTACATTATTATCTCTTTAATTCTTATATCTATTCTGCATATTACCTACATACTTCTTTTCAGCAATCCAATGTCAACCACCAGTGTTACCTTTGAACGGACATTTGATTCAGTCAGAAGCCCCAGGTATGGACGGAGGTAGATACGCTGTTGGAAGCCTAGTGCAGTTCGCTTGTACAGGGGCTCATCATCTGGAAGGGGAAGCTAGCATAATATGCACCGAAACTGGATTTTGGTCTCATCCTCCGCCGTTTTGTAAGTGCTATTATCTTGAACCATTATTAATCCAAAAATTTGAAGTGATTTTACGAAAATAGATGAAAAACGTATGTGCACTTTTCAAATAAACTTAGTATGACAGGTCTTCAATAACGTGTTTTGTCAAATACTCGGCAAAAAAATTCCAGATGTTCATAAACAAGTTCTTCAGCGGCAAATGAACCGTATTTGATGAATTATTAGGTGTCTATTTTTTTTACAGGTAAACCAAGATGTTCCTATATCGGAGAACCTGAAAATGGTTTAATTTCTCCGACAAAATTCGCCTACGACCCAGGAGACGAACTGAAAATAATCTGCAATCCTGGATTTGAAACAACTGTCGAGTCCAACTTGAAGTGTTTACCGGACGGAAAATGGTCGTCGGGCTTACCTGCTTGCACCAACATAACTTATATATAAATAGATTATCACTCTCAGTTTTGCCAAAGCAGAGCCAAAGCAACATCAACTACCGAAAATACCAGATGATACATATAAACAACTGAAGAGTTCAGTGTAACACCGTATTCATTAATTTGTCAACAAAATTAATAATCAGTGGAAAACATTAAATTTCTATATTCAAGTAACACTTTAGTGTGGAGTTTTTACTGAACGGTTTACAAATCTGTAACACGTGTTTCGTTATATAATAGCTCCCATTCATACTATTTCTATGCTCAACTTTCTTCAGATGGTTTATGTTTCGGAAAATTGTTACGACGTGAAGTTCAAAACGGAAACTGAATTTTTACATCTTACATATAGACATCTACACATTTCATCCTTTTGACGTCTGTCAAAGGAAATATGTATGTTTTTAACTAAGATTTTTATGAACGAGTTTATTGGATTTTGAAAATGAAAAATAGTTATTTTTCGAAATGTCAACCATCTGAAGAAAGCTAAGTATAGAAATTTCATTTTTCTATTGATTATTCAATATGTAGGCAAATAAATACGGCAAGTTACTGAATAATTGGAATCCAGTGGTTTATATTACGCAATAACATTTTCGCGGTGAACTTTTCAGTTTGCCCTTTTTTATTACACTTCAGCAAATTTTCTAGATTTGATCAGCCAAATAATAATAAAAAACATTGATTCCTCAACAAAAAATATTTATAAAAGAATAATAACTGTTTCAATGCGTAGCACCCTACTTGTTTTCATCCCCTTTTCGTTGTTTTTCTGGAAAACAAAATTTTACTTTCAGATGTTTCATCCAACATAAAATTAATTGTTACAGAAAACGTCAGTGGCGTACATTTTATGGTTAATACCTAGTCAATCAGTGAAAATAGCCAAACTTCATCAAGATCAGATGAGGGACATTTAAAATAGTAATACAGAAAGGGGTTTTTTTAGAAAAGTACCGCATCTTGGAAACAATTTATTTCCCAAGCTACGTTCATATGAATGTTTTTCAAAAAATCAGCTCCTGAACACGCCCTCACGTTTTAACCGCAATTAGGAAACACATTGTGTTTATATTATACTATAGATATAGATGAAGAAAATGTTCATTTTGGAAAAATGACATTTGTCAAATCAGTAATTTTATGACTAGAAATTTATCATGAGAAAAACTTACTCGCCATGTTCTTTTTATTTCACATACTATCTAATTTTCTAGACTTCACTTCACGTCACTTTTCATTTTCAGTGGTGGTTTCCCGAGGTGGTGTCATCTCAAATATTGGGGTGTAAAAAAAGTGTAATTTGACACATGGTGTTGAGATATTTGGCTTATCTTTGTGGGTAACACTGATTGACAGTAAAAAACATAAAAGTGAAAGACATATTTTGTCACAGACTACAGAAACAATCAGTATTCTGTGTATTTTGTTTACATAACCTATTTACTTTATTTATTGCTTTCAGGTGTCTGTTAATATTTTTAGACAATGATAAGTTGGAACCCCCTCATTATAAAAAAAATATTATCAATCACATTAAAACGACTATATTTTCGTCATTGACTTCCTCATCTTCACAATTAAACATACATTATAACATACTATTATGCGTGACGTGACCATGATTCAAAATCAGAAACTGTTCACCGCAGTAGTTTTTTCCATACTGAATTCATTAATGGCTATGCAATAACTGTATATTTATAGGCTTCAAAATCAGATATACAGAACGGATGAATACAATTTCCACATTTTCACTCTAAAGAGGATTAAAGTAAAACCAGAACAAGTACACACCTATAATTACCCCTACAAATATTCCTTTGCCTGTATTATTTGGTAGTTTTGACTGTGGAATAAGTGTTGGTATGAAATCTGCACAACAAATTTGGTAATGAGAATCATGAGATTCCTTTCAGAATGAAATAATTAATTGATACAATCTGAAGATCTCTTGCAAATTCATCAATTTAATAACTAATTTCATGTGAATTTTTGATATATTCTTTACAAAAAGTCTACATGATCATCTGAACATTGTATCGTAGATGGTAGTCATTAAGGATAACATTCAACAAGGTTGATATTTTAGAACTTTTTTAGATTCAGAATTACCCAAATATATTCCGTTATAATTTTCTTTGTTTATTTTTCAAATAGTAGAAATAAGGTGAAGCCGGAAGAAATTGAGTCAAATGGGTTCTATAGAATGATTATACATTTGACTAGAAAGATTTAGTGATTATTAAAACTGATTCGTTTGTAACCCATAATTGTTAATAAATAATTCTTGTTAACCTTTTAATAAAATTTTTCCAATAATAACCATGTCATTATCAATTATTTTTCAGTGACCATCAATAACAGAAAATATGACTACACATTGGAATCTCTATTGATTACAACGACAATAATACGGCAATGCGTTCTTCATTGGTTACAAAAATGGGGCAGACTGCATTCATTTGAAAAAAATTTCAATGTTTGTACAGGACATGAATCTATGGATTTGACAATTTTCGCCTTTTTTCAATATATCCCACAGATGAAACGGGTACCGATATACTCTTTTAGAGATGTCACTAACCCAAATAAATTTCAACCATTTATTCCAAGTGAAAAAATTAAACACAAAGTTTACTCTCAAATTTCTATTTATTCAGTAAAAAAAAGTCACAGCATACAAAACAATATTGACAGCAAATTCAATTCTATATACAACTCATTTCATCAAGCAGACTAGCCAGATTTTGATTTCAATAGTTTTGGGGCCTATACTTTACGATTCAATTAAATCAGAAAATCAAATTTATCAATGATTATTTTTCCATCAAGAATTCAAGAACTTCGATGCTTGATCAAAAATGATTTAATATTCACGAGTAGGGGTGAATCTGTCTAATTTAACGATATAACAGACTGATATAATGATTGTCAAGCAAATATATTCGGTTGTCAACCAGTATTTTGTCTGATTTGCCTAACCAGTTCATAGACTAGGAGTAGTTCAGTGCAGAAAATTTCTATTAGTGGGATATGAAAAACTCCGAGTCATACAAATTATTGAAGTGATCAACTAGAACTTTAATTGTACCCGTTCTTTGCAATTTTATAAAATCTATTGTCATACAACAATACTTAGAGAGAACCAAATTATAACCATACAATAGTTTGATCTTATGTTATCAATGATTATTAATAAGTCACAAAGTTCGGACTTTGGAAAATCATGATTACTTCAAACACAATTTAGTGGCTCTGATTTACTAATAAAGGTTTCAAAAGACACAAAGTACCGGCCCTTACAAGAATACCGTTTTATTGAAATAAATAATTTATTACCGTCGATTAAGATACTTTCACATTTATTCTTTGAATCAAGACTATTTACAAAAATCTTTAACGTTAAGGGTGTTAACCACAATCTTTCAAAATATTTTTCCCAATTCAATCGTCCTGAATTATGTTGCGATGTAAAATATACCATAATATTAGTAGATTTGTAAGAGTTGAAACCATGCGACTTTTGATTTATTTACATATCCTGTTACCAAATTTCACAATAATAACCAGACCCCAAACACAACACATTTATGAATCAACACCAGGCAGCGCTATTTTGATGGCGAAGAAGCCATTTGTGGTTCAGCCTAGCACCACTGATGATACCTATGACAGGTTGAAACAGTACTGTCTGGTATTGAATCATAAATGCGTTGTATTTGGATTCTGGTTTTCATCTAGTTGCAATGAAAATTGCAGTAAAAGACAGGACAAATTTGGTTGACATTCAATGTCAAGCTTAGCTTTGCAACAACTAATCCAGCTAACACCGAGCAGAAAGTTGAAGTGAAACCATCAGACACGTGTGCAACATCTTCCGTTTAGAGGATTCATTGCAAATGACTTCCTTACATTTTAAAATTAATTTTACTTGGTTGGGATGACCACCGACAGATCAGTTCCGGAGTACTAGCTCCTCATCAGTACCCAGTGTGTCAATTCAGATGGAACGAACTACCTAAATATCCACAACAAACAAATTTCTTTCCAACTAATCATGAAGTTTGCCTGCAGTTGACAAAGTAGACAGGCCACGTTGCCAACGTTGCCACGTTGACAAAGTCCGGAAGCAACTCCACAAACACATACTTCTCGGTGGGATTCAGAATAATAAATATATTACAGAGAGGGGCATACGAGGGCAGGAGATTGGCATTTTTACCAGATCTTGGGCACCTCATATGCACTTCTGAAGAAGGTGATTCATATGCACCTTCATTGAATCAAGTTCAAACAGGAAGGACCTTAGTTACAAGCTGATGCTAAGATCACCGCAAAACTAAGAGAAAACCAAGAAATAAGTTGGATATTTGACGTCACTAACATATAAATATGTTTGTTGGTTCATTGTTTCGGCATTGCATTTGTTAGCAATTTTCGGATCTTTTGGAAAGCTCTGCATTTTCCAGAATATAAACTATTAGTTACGTTCATTGAACATCATCTATTTTACAGGTATGTTATCTGTTGCCTGCAGATTTTTCATGCTCAACGTTTTATCTAGAACTGCGGCAGATATTAAAGGCGAAGCAATGGACACAGTGCTCTAGTCGATCCACAGCGCACACTACATGGTTGAGGGTGCCGGTCTCGGTAATATACGATAGAAGTGACCATTACCTTGTAGCCTTTGATATATCCCGCATGTATAGACGAAACGTAAGGCATCAAAACAAGAAAATCACGGCCAAAAAACTCCCGAAACTCCGGAGTTATCTCTATCCATGAATGTTAACATTATTCAAAATAACCAATTCTGGATTATTTGTGTGTATAGTTTCATAATATGGCAATCAATATTCAATGATTCCAATGAACAACAATGTTAGAGTTGTAAAACCTAGATGTTGCCCACTGGTCCTTAATTTAAAAAATAAAAATAAAATAAATCTACATATGAATATATTCACTTGCGCTTACATGATTCATAACAATTTACTAACTGGTTCTTTTTCACCATCTCGCGTTAGGAATAAATTAAAAACATCAGATATATAAAATGACAACAAACATGGAAACTTTCAAAAAAAAATACAAATTATATAACATAGATACATTTCACCATTGAAAATATTTGTGCTCAATATTTTTCATAAATACTAGAAACTCTATTGATATTTTCCTAAAAAATTAAATTTTCAAGCACATGATTTTCTCATACTGGAAATGAATTTTATCCAAACTAGTGATGACTGAGCAAAGTTAAAGTATAACTTATGCTCTGCTTCCAACCACAACATCGCATTGCAACATTTTGGAAAATATATTCTATAAATAAATAAATAAATTCATGAGATCTTTTCTGTTGAATATCCTTCCATTTTATAAATGTGAAATGTGCTTCTATCCTTCGAATAAAATATTGAGAGAAATTGAAATCATTAATGAATTTGATTCAAAACTATTATAATTTCGATCTATAACTACTTAATTTTACATTGATTTATAAAACTTTCAACACTCTATCGACTAGTCAACATTCCAATAAATCAATCCTTGAAGCTCATTTGCATTTTACACTAGACGCTCATTGATTTTAAACCAAAATCTCAGTTAGTCTACTGAAAATCCTGAACATTGTACCTACTACAAGAAATGATTCAACCAACACAAGTTCTTAAATTAGTTTTTACTACTACTAAATTTGACAAACTCTCTAAAAGCTTCTTGAATCTCCTCGTCCATTTCATCTTCGGGATCGTACAGTTCATCCAGATCAGAAGGGTCGCTGAAAAGTTCAAGAATTTTAGTCTTCCTGTCTATTAAATTTTCGGAAAGATGAAAAGCAAATTCAATTCTATTCAGCAAAATGTTTGTTAAAAGACATAATTTCTTAGGCATTTGGTTCTCACCAATCAATGTCTATATTGGTATGGAACTGCCAAAAACCAATGCTCAATAGAAATATTTCCTGGTTTGGATTCTAGGCCTGGAGGATAGGAAAGCTGTTGACTCCCTTGCAAAGGAGAGCATTTCAAGTGGTTTCACCGGACCAGAAACTGTCATTGTCATTGCTTTAGGTTTTGACAAGCAAACACAGGGTTGCAAGAAAAGTTTCAGACTCCTCCCAAAATATACTAGGATTGACTCATTCCAATATTGTCCTTCAAAGAATGTTACCGAATACCTGACAGAAATAACCTACGTTGGGCTAACTGAGCAACTTACAGATCACGATCGTCTGTCTAAGAGGAAAAGAAAGACAAAAGCAAGTAAAGATGCAAGAAACTATCTAATGAGCCTATTATAGAAAACATTATTGAGAATGACTCATAAGAAAACAGAGCTGAAATGATGGATGTCAATATGGAGCAAAAACATCTTCTAAATATTCCAGTGCAACAAAAAATTGTGATTCGTGGAGATCTGTATAATAACATGATCAACTTGAGCAAAACTTGATATTTCAACATGATTTGCTCTATGTATTTTTCTCTGGTCAAAAACAATATAAGAGCAAAAGTGCTGGTCACTGCCTTTCAATCATATTGACACAATATCAATGGAAAACCAGGTTTTGGAAGTGGAAGAACAAAAATTAATTTTTCAAAATCTCAATTGAGAGACAAAAATTTAACAAATCAAATAAAAAAGAATACTTACCTCAAAATGTCATCATTAGATTGCATATGAGCTGCTATGAACTCACTTTCTTCATGTGTAAGTGCTTCACCCTCTGCATTGAAAAATACTGTAGTTTGTTCCCCATCATAAACAAAACCGTCAAATTCTTGATCATTTCTACAAAACACAGAATATTATTACAAATGAAATTCAAATAAAATAAAATTATTACTCACTCGGATACATCACTCGAATGTCCCCAATTGGATGATCTTAAATTAAAAACAGTATCTAGAAGTGTGGATGCTGAGCCTCTTACAGTGCCTTTTAGAGACTTCAGCTTGTCAAAAACTGCATCCAAATCAGGCTTATTACTTTGTTCTAAAGTATACCCTGTTAACTGAAACACAGAAAAAATATTCATTAAAATAAAAAAATCACCAAAACAGCAATTGTTAACACATTCCCTGCTGAAAAAGCGTAAAGTGTTCATTTGAACAGCTGTTTGAATGAACACTGTTAGATTGAGTAAATTTCACAACAATTGATATCTCTCGTACAATAAAATGCATGAACCAAAATACTTTCTACTAATAATATGTTGAACCCATACTGGAATGCTGACTGACTGTGGAGACAAAAATCGTGTTAGGAAAAGTCATTAAAAGGTTAGTGAAAAATAAACTAAATGTTGAAATCTCAACTGGTTGTCCTCAAAGAACACGCCTAAGAGACAAGGGGCGATGACATCTCCCATTACAAAGACGCCACCTATGGGACCGACAGAGAACTATATCCTTGAATATTAAAGATAAGAGAGCCCCCCAAAGACCACCAGTTGCAAAGCCAAGCTTCAACATCGACTACCAACGATATTTGTCCTGTCATTCATTGAAAAGCAACTAGTTGGAAACTATAGCCCAAACACAATGCATCTACAATTCAACATCAGGCGGCACTGTTTTGACACACCATAAGTCTCATCAGTGGTGCTAGGCTGAACCACAAATGCATTGCCGGACTCAACTGCCTCAAAGTTCTCTGTCGGTCTCATAGATGGTGTCTTGATAAGGGGAGATGTCATCGCCGTGTTTAACTGTTTTGCCACAAGATGATAGGATAACATAAGACATTGTAGTGGCATTGATAGAAAAATTCCCCTTAGCAAAATTGAACAACAAGAATTGATATGAAGATGCTCAAATTGGGCGATTATAAACAATAGGAGAATAGAAGAGATGTGAAATGCATTTAAACTAAATTTGTGAATAAATATTAAAGTTAAGAATGGCTCCTTGTTTAAATATTCAATGAACATATTCTGATATCCCACTGAGGGTTACCATTGAAGTATAATCTAATTTCTTCATATATGTTCAGAACCAAAAGACCTGGAGTTGAATTTTTGGGAATAAGTCACTTCAGAACAAAAAAATAGTAAAGACAAATTGAATCCGCATTTAATATCTTAATTTTTTTATAAGAATACTTGAAAGTTATATGAAAATTACTTATTCATGTGAATCATTTTTCATGGATTTAAGTTTTATATTTCTAATAAAATATATGGAATTCTGTATGAGCAAATTATTTATAAATGTAAAAAGTACATACCTTTAGTGCTTGACAAATGCACTTTATGTTGTCATCGCCTCCATTGGCGAATAAATTTCTGAAAGAATCTATAAGTAATGCTCCATACACATTGTGATGGGGTAGCTGAGTAAAAAGTTCTGCAATGAATAAGAGAACATTCTGGGTATTACTGTTGATTTCGAGTTGCTTCTTGCAGCCCATATGTAGTTCCGCTCTAAATTGTGGACAATTCTGTTCTATATACCAACATAACCGGGCTCCCGTGTACCTGAAGTTGGCATCGTTGATTGCCTGAAATTCATTGGAAAGAATTAGGATTTCATTGAGATTTGTTAGACATTGTTTCAATTGATAAAGAACAATATAAACTAGAAACTGAATTCCGGCAACATGAACATTTTGGCAGTTCAGTTAATCATTCACATGACACAAATGAATATATGAATGGAAACTTTTATATATTTCAATAAAAATAAAGGAGTAGTACATTCATTCATTCATTATGTTCTTCGATAGATATAAAGACAGACATGAATATTAAAGTATGTAGATTTTTGAAAAGTCTGCAAGTTTCTGGCTTGCTACATTTACGATATGAGACAAACTGTATTTTTGAGTAAATGGTTTATACTGACTTCTACCAACTATACCCCTAGTCATTTCAATATTTCCCAGAACTTACCTGTTCAAGTAAAATTTTTACTATCGTTGATAAAGCTATGATATCGTCAAAATATGGTGCAAGAGTTTCCAGGAATAATTCTAACAAATCGTCGAACTGACCCGGGTCCTTCGTTAGCGTGTTTATTAGTTGTTTCAATCTCCAGAAATCTGATGAGTTTTCAATTGCTTCCATATTTTGCAAAACAGTGGCATATTCGAAATCATTGCTCTCATTCGTTTTATTTATTTTCAATCGATTTTGTACGCTGCTAGCAAGCTTCTCGATTCTGTTGTTTGGTACATAAGTATGTCCGGAAGGGAACCATTCTGGAGCTTCTACTTTTAATTTTGAATTCGCAACCAATTCTTCAACAGTGACGTTTTTCTCTAATGAAAAATTCGAATTATCCTCTGTAACAGTTTCATTGATATCCACTTTTGTTTCTGAGTGAGGATTCGAATGTGAAGAACTGTTTAAAACTTTGTTTGGGGCAACTTTTGGTGGCCTTAAACTTGATTGAACCTGGTCTGGTTTTCTATTCCACAACATGGGCTTATCTGCCATATTTCAGATTTAGAAATGGATATTTATCTGATAAATTTCATAAAATAAGTTGAATCTGAAATATTGAAATATAACTCAACGACGACACACAAATACACAATCAACACATCCACAAAAATAAACAAACTTTGTAATTCTGAAAAACTCCGTTGACAGAAGACAACTGGCTTATGTCATCTAGCTCTAGGGCTTTAGCATAAATATCTCTCCCTCTCTCTAATTTCTCTTCTTCTCATTCTTTAATTTCTATGACCATGTCTTCTCACTCAAGGGCATTTGGCCAGGCTCCTCCTATTTATAGTGAACAAAAGCTTCGTTCGGGAGTGTATCGATCTTTATCGAAACAATGCTGCCACCCTAAGTTTTTTCTTTCACTTTTTTTTTTCAACAAAAACACTTCAGTTTTGTCCGGTCACCTTCTTTTCGGGATGCCTCCATATAAAAATAACACAAATGCATATATTCATTTATTTTAAGAAGTGACGACGTCGTCGACATCCAGCCTGGTTACTGACGTAGGAGGTCACTAGTCCTCTAATCTTTCACTTTAGTATTTATTCAAAGGTAACTTCATTTTAGATTACACCTTTTGGACTCCATTCCGACCACGATATCCACGTGCCATGTGCCATCTTTTAGGGCGGTCGTTATCGACACAACCGTCATCTGTCGCGACCGATTGTAAAATCATGATGAAAATGTTTGGACTGCGGATTACTGTTCATTCATTTATCCAATAGGTGTTTGAATTTTATCAATTCCCAATTTTGATATTCAATAAGTTGAAACAATATTTTTTTATTAAAGTTCCGAAGGAGGTGTGTTACGCAAGTCAGAGTATCCGTTTTAGAAAGTATTTTCAATCCTCTGGGAAAATTATAAATATTTGTACCACAATTTCAGGAGGCAGGACTTTTCTTGTCAAATTCCTCCTCTTTTTGGATATTTTTTCAAATTTGAAAAAGGTCAAGTAGTTTTCAAGATTATTACAAAAAAACCAAACCCCATTTTTTTCAGTTAATTGTTCACAACTTTTGCAATTTTCGCAAACAGTACTTGAACTTTTTCAAAAAAGGTTTGCCAATCTTGATTCTGTTTTCTCACAAACTGTTCAGCTTCCTAAATGAATTCTTGTAATTACTTCAATGGTATTTACATTCGGGAAAAAATTTATATCTAAGTGTAAGATCAATAAATTGAAGATCTGAATAAAATACGAGCAAAATATTTCAATTCTTGTTCTGTCTATCAACATGTGTAAAAAGTTGGGCAAATCTCATTTCTGCCTTCAAGAGTTTTTGAAAAAAACAAAAGCGAATCTGTTGAAAATACCAGGGTTTCTATGCATCTTTTCCTAAAGGAAGCCATGACATGAAATTAATGACACTATAAGTGATCCTAATTGTCTAAGAATATATATATATAAATGAATTATATAATATATGTATAGTACAATATAGAAAGTTACTAATGTCACATATTCGAAAGATTAACACCATGTTCCAATTTTATAGTTTTGAACATAATTATTGATTCTAAAATCTTCAACTTTGTCCTGAAGAAGTCTATTCTGGGACGAAAGCTCGACAAATTGATATATATAAAATAAATAGATAAGTACTTTTTTATCATTCCCATAACATAAGCGGAATCACCTTGTTTCGCTTGCGTTCACGCAGCTATTATTATCAAGTAATATCTTGGTTTTTCTCATTTTGTCTTCAATCGAGGACCGCCTGCCCGGTACTGACGATGCCCAATAGGCTGAAACAGCTGTATACACAATCTATGCACCAATACTTCGGCGCACTCCCTCCTCTTAGGTACCTCTACTGATAGGTACTACTAACAGGTAGTATTCTTAGGTACCTCTATTGATAGGTACTAATAGATTGATTTTACGCAAGAGGTTCCAGTATGAAGTCTTTGTCACTTGGTGTAAAGTTCATAAAGTTCGACAATTGAATAAAAAAGTGCAATATTACACCGATTAGAAGCTGGTGAATCAAATGCAGCCCTCGCAAAGGAGTTTGGCGTATCCCATTCTACAATATCCACAATTAAAAAGAATAAAGATATGATCGAGTCGCTGTTCGATGCCAATGTTTTGAAATGCAAACGTATAAGGACTTCTACTCATGAGCAGTTGGATAAGCCTGTCGCTACTTGTGAGGAGATTTATCCAACCTTGAGTTTGTCTGTAGCTCTAAAGGCTGCGGAAACGCTCAACGTGTTTTTTCAGACTAACCTGGATGATGATGTTGAAAAAACGATGATGTCGCGAATTCATAATGCTGTACAAAATTCTTACTACCGAACAAAAGTTTGTCAAAAACAATCTGAAATAACAGACTTTCTACGTTAGTAATACAGTTTTTTCGTGCATTGCGTGTGTATTTTATCTCTTTGTATTACAGTACATAATGTAAGTATATATGTTTCTACATTAGGATATTTAAGAACTATTGAAATGAAGCATATGTGATTCCTATAAAATGTTTCATTCACCTATCGATCAGCAATTCGAACAGCTAAATGAAAGACTAATGAACCAATGTACACTTAACTACTACAAAATTATTCCGTTTTGTACGTCGTCCGGTTAGTACGACACAGTACATCCGGTCCCTTGAAGGTCTTTATGTCCGGATTCTACTGTATATATTGCTGTCGATCATTTCAGGCTAACATATCAAAGTATTTAATCAGGACTACCAACAAAAATTAGGTCCTCAATAAAAAAAAAAAACAAAAATTTTTAAAGTAGTAATATATTTTCATTTTTGTTTACAACAGTATATAATAATATACTCGTGTCTAACCTAAAAACATTGAACACAAATTCAAAAATTTTTTTTCGAAATCATACATTATGTTATTTCAAATTTATTAAAGCAACCAAAACTTCTATAATGAAGTAAAGAAACTCGAAGAAAAAATGACAATACATGAATAAATGTAATTATATCTGATGCATTTGTGTTCGTTCATCCTGAGGAAATTTTATTCTAGAAATGGAGATTATATTAGGTTCTTATCGATTACTTATATTTGAACAAATATTTATACTTTTATACTCTATTCTACACATTATGTCAAAAACATATGATCATAATATCACTTCATTAAAATTATAAGGAGTGACACGTACTTGTTCAATGAAAACTCCTGAAGATGCTATTGTATAGCGTAATAGAAGTCATGGTTTGGTAAACTGTTAAATGAAACTCTCACATTGAAATGGCGTTTTTTAAAATATGTTAATTTTTTCAATTAAGCTTCAACTCAATTATCTAATAATTATATTATACAAAAAGAGACATCGCATTCTCCGAATACCAAATCAGCCATAAAGGCATGATGAAATCATTGTAATTTATTATTATCAATTGAAATTGGGCTTAAGGAGTTGATAGAGGCGTTTTTTTAATTAATAAACATTTTCAGCAGTAATATTTTTACTTTGATTGGTTTTTGATTACCTCGCCATCACAAAGTTCTGGATTACATCGAATAATTTAAGATTGGAAACAAAATATTTTCAATAAAAACATAAGAGGTATGGGTAAGAAGGCACCCGACATTCTACACTCATGAAAACATTTCTGCCACTGCCCCACATCAATTGTATATTCAAAAATTGGAAAATGTATGAAGAGGACGTATTTCGTAACTGTACGACACATTATGATCATATATTTTCTTCAGAAAAATTCCATAACAAACTCACTTTTGTATAAAATCTGACATGAATTTGTACCTTGCGAATAGCATTATGTTAACTATTTAAAAAATATTTTACCACATATCTTCTGAGGGCTAAATCTTTATGTACATATCGACAATATCGGAGGTTTATTATTCTATTACGAGTTAAATGGTAGTTAAGGGTTGAACACAAAACGAACCTGCAGTCTATTGAAAGTTGTTTGAGCAAAATGAAAATCTAAATTAAATTTCACGTGTTTACATTTTGTCCAAAATCAATAATGTAGATATCAAGTTGAAAGAAAAAACCCAGGACGTTTGAACTAGAAATATTCAATAAAGGCACGGGTTTTATTAAAATATCAACTAGGAATGGAATGAATAAATTGAAAATACTGAACTAACCTAAAACTTTGCTTTTACATGCTTCTGGTGGCAAGATAAAAAAGTATCAAGTATTAAAAGAAGAAAAATCTTATAATATCGAGTGGAATGATTTATTTCTCTGCAATTTGGAGTTTACTATCAAAATTGATCCGAATCTTATTTTATCTAATTTTATTAAATATAAGTTCTTTTGAATACAGATGAATAAATAAGAAAAATGGTTTAGTTTGTGCAACCAATGCAATTTTTCGACCATTTAATCAAACATCATTAGGTTACTTTAAAATTGTCATTAATCTGACCCGTTACTTGATGAAAATAAATAACACTACCCAAGATAATAATTAAAGAATTTTCACAATAAATTTTATTCAAAATGTGGTTTGCAACTTCGTCAGTTGACGAAGCTACCATGTAGCTATGTAGTAATCAAGATTATTATCATGGATATCAACTTTATCAATTCGCGACAGATCTGATGAAGTTGATATCCATAGAGTTGATGTGTATAAGTTTTTTCCATTATAACAAAGCTGACAGAAATTTGTAAATATGTTACAAATAGAGTATTGCTGATTTGTTTGAATGTCTTCATGTATAGCAGAATTTTTCGTTATATTAATGAATATTTGAAATGGTGTATACATTTTGATATCCTGAAGTCCTAGTTAAAATAGACAGAAGTAGAGAAGGATTTATGGTTTATATCAACCTCCTTCAAATAATTCACTGAATACTTATACTTTGGATGAAAAATATATCTCAAATGTCAATTATTATAAAAAAATATGAATACAAAATTGAAAAATTGTAATTTTGTTTGAAATTGAATCTGAGGCTAAAAAAAGTGGGCATAACTAACTGATCAGATAGTTGCCGATTATGGACAAAATATAAATAGTATATTGTTTATGAATGTGTCAGTCTTTTGTAAGTTTTGTAGAAACATTTCATAGAAAGTGGTGGATAAATTATTCTGAAATGAAAGGAGGAGCTTTTGTTCATAAAATATCTTTCTTTTGTCAATATATAGTTCGCATCATTTCACTATTCAATTACTGAAATAAACAACCCTCTATATTTAGGAAAATAAAAGCTCTGAACTCCGAAAATATAAAATATAGACCTTTCTTTCTCTGATTACAGGTAGATTTCAAAGCATAGATTTCTTCTATTACAAAAAAATATAGGTTATACTCATCTCGCCGGCTATTCATAAATTACAATAAAATAAATGTCACAGAAAGCAAACTTTTTACACACAGCTTAAATACATTAGAATGAAAAAATGTACATTTTATCTACAGAAATCTCATTGGTAGTTTTCAAAATAAAAATGGAATTCTTCGAAGTAATAAAATCTGTTTTTGTAACGGCAATACAAAAAAAAACTGATTGACGGAATCACCCCCCGGACTGCTGGCAGCTCAAAAAATATTTTACAACTGAATTTGAACTATCACCAAACGGTAAACCCATACAAATAGGCAGTATTAAGTTGATATGGACATAGCATATTGTCTTTTAGAAAAGTGATAGCATTAAACTGTTCCTCTAGACCCAAAATATTACAATCCAGAACATTGGTGAAAACTAATGAAGAAAAAATTCGAAGTTTTCTCATTGAAGAGTTGTTAGATTAATTTGCAGAGCTGCTGTTTGAAATAAAAAAATCTGAAGCCTATAATTCAGTCATTTATCGTTCTGAATCAAAAAGTTATTAAAGGTGAAATGGTCACAAAAATCAGTTTTTCATATTTCACCGACCAAGTTGGAGTTTTCAGGCGTCGAGAATAGTATATTGCAGTTCTGGTGTTTGGAAAACGTGGTTGTTTTGCATTTATTCTATGCCAGAGGTTTCAGTTTCACCTTTTAATAGCTTTTACGGAGTTTCCAACTACAGTTATAGGATTTTATTGAATTATATAGTCGAGTGATTTGGTTTGGCAAGATTTCGAAAATTATAGGGGTGCACATCTTTTGACTGATCAAATGTAAAAAAAAAAATCTCCTACTGAAAGGGGGATGCTGAAAAGAGATAACATACTTGAAGACTGGCTGTAAATCAAATTATCTAAAAGAACAATTCGTTCAGGTCAGTCTCAACTCACCTGCGCTGTAGGTTAACGGACTGACATCTATCAGAAAACAATTATTCCCCCCTGGCTAATACCATGAAGGGCATTGGATTATATTCGAACATTTCAGTGCAGGATTCTTCACAGAATCAATTCCTGCATATGCTGTTGGCGATACAACTGCTGGAATCGATTTTCAATTATTGGAACGGGCACACTAGGCAAGTTGCGACTGGCCTGAATGAATTGTTGCGAAACCCGCAAACTTAAACAAAGAAATAAGGCTCGATCCACACTATGAACCGTTCTCGGTCCGATCTCGGTCCGATCAAATCTCGCTGTGTCTACACTACTAGTTCCAAACTCAGTCTGTTTCGATTCATGGTCGACATAGGACGTTTCTCGAAATGATTCGATAAATTGTACTCGCCAAAAATGGCATTTAATTTTTCAATCAAAGAATTAGCGATAATAACTATTAGTTTGGAAGAACAGAATACAAATGAAAAAAAATTACAACATAGAATGAAAAGAAGAAGAATGTGGATACATCTTAGTTTACTATCGAGGAAAGAAGAAGGCGAATATCACACGTTATATCGTCATTTGATAGACAACGAAGAAAAGTTTATTATTTATGATCAAATGTTATAAATAACTCAAATAAAGTACTTACCTTTTTCAGAATCCCACTATTTATTACTAGCCATGACTAGAAGAAAAATGTAACGTCTCCTTGCAAGACCGAAAAAAGACTGGAGTTGAAAAAAAAACGTATTCACACTGTCGATACAAGTCATGACAGGTCCGATCTCGCTCAAGTTTCACTCCTGTCAAATATTTTTTTCGACCAACCGGTACCGGCGCAATGCTGGATCGGAACCAGAGCGATACGATAATGAGAATACTCTGTTTGAGAATACTTTACCGGACCGGGAACGGACCGAGACCGGAGCGAGATCGGACCGAGACCGGAGCGAGATCGGACCGAGACCGGAGCGAGATCGGACCGAGAACGGCATCATAGTGTGGATCGAGCCTAATAATAATAACATGTTTTTATGTCTGAGGTTTCATCCACTCCTATGGTACACATTATCAAAGGCGATGAGGCAAAAGACGCAGTGCTCTAGATGGTTGGTTGCATTAATTGGCCTCATTCGTTTACAGTTCATTGTAGGTAGCTAGACTTTATCTGTGTTAATAGTCCCTTTGTTCTGGCTTAAATTGCCTTCAAGTTTCTGACTATTTGTCGCCTTCAAATGAGAAAATTCATTCAGTTGCTCAATATTATAGAATTTTTTAGTGGCTAATCGGTTTTAAAAACTAGTCATTCTAAAAAATTTCTAATAAAACCTTATCTGTCTAAAAACTACAAAACACCAGGTTTGAGATAACCTTTCTATAAAATTGGCATCAACTTATCAGTCTACTAGCCAGTGTTATAACACTCAGTTTTGGATTGTATAGATTCAGTATCGAGTTAGAAGTATGTCGTTCTGTAAAAGTATTGGCATACTGCCACAGTTTTAAATTTAGTTATCTAACAACTCGACAAAGATGAAAAACATCGATTTTCTTCATTAAGTACCTTGGTTTATCAATCCAACAGTATGATTGAGCTAAAAGGTTGGGATACATATTATAATACTAAGTCTTTTCCTTCAACACTACATAAATTAACCCGGGTACAAAACATATATTTTATGTAAGTAAAAAAAGAACTTCACATCATTTTTTTCAAACACAACAACCTGAAAAACAAAGACATTATTATCAAAGGATTTGTTCCAGATTTTTTGTTGTTATACAAAGTGTTTCTGATAAAGAGGTTCCACTCATGAATTTATCAATATCTCATGTTATTTGTATACTCTGGTATAAAAAAACATTTAACGAGAAACGTTTTTTTGGTTTACTTCGAAAACTGGTTCAATATTCCAAAAAATACTGTCTCTATGCTGACCCTTCAATGTAAATTTTGAATGTTTCGATCAGACTCCCAAATCACGATGTCAATCGTCACCATAGTACCGCGAATTATTCTCTAACGAACGTGAAGAATCCAAAAAATGAACAAGAATATTCGCATGTGATATACATTCGAAGGCGTCGAGCTACAGAGGCAGATCTGATTAGTTTAGAATTCATATGAAGAAGTGAAATAAGTACGATAATCCTTTCATTTGTCCCATTTATATATTTCTATTCAGATTTTATGTTTATAACTTGTTTACTCATAAACAAGCAGTTGATCCGCTTCATAAGTTTCAACTTTATTAACCATTCATTACTGATGAATAAATTATTATTATTATTATTGAGACATATTGTTCAGTAATAATGTTAATTATCACTAATTGAATCTGAATAAGTTCACCACTTTATCGAGAAACCACGCATAGACATAGTATTGGCGACAGCGTTAGGCAATAATAATAAACAATATTTCAGAAGTCCAGGAGAAGTATGCTTTTTATTTTTTTTGTTTCAACGCCATGAAATATTGATAAATTAAAGAGAGGATCTTCTGTATACATTCACCGATCATTTTCAGAAACACACTCCTGAATTTCAACACGTCTTGAGTGGAATGTTGAAAAAGTAACCAACAGACATGTTCTATTACTTACCCATCTAAACCTAATCCTACATTTTTAGTTCTTCAGAAGCTCTGAAGTTAGAGAGTGTCTTTTTAATCCTCAAAGCCGTCAGTCTGGCTGTGGCATTGTGATACCAGCATTCTTTCATCAGCTTCGACATTATGTGAAGAGCCTCACAGCTTTGCCAACGATTAGGTATGCTCGGTCTTTGCTTGTCCACGCAAACAACCCTGTAAAAGGTGAATGTTATACTAAGGAACTGAAAATGCTCCATTATAAGGATGTGTTCAGAATAGTCACACAGAGATCATCTCCTTCCACAGATTCAATATAAAAATATTGCAGATTTTGCTAGTAAAATTTATTAATCATATCAAAATCCACTGAGCCTGGCAAGTTGTTAGAGTAAGCTTAGTTTTGGTTAAAAATATAGCTAACAATTGCGAAACTAGCCAAATGTTACACCCATGCTCAATCCTTAGAGAGATGGGATGGAATCAAAGGATGCTTTCTTGCCAGGATCACCTTGGGCGACCCTGGGAAGCTGACGCCGAAGAAATATCTGGAAATGACCTGAAAAAATCTACGCTTAACAGTAGGATTTCTGACTGGCCACTGTCAACTAAGGAAACACCTCCATAATACGGGGCTAGTGGACACACATCTAAGCAGGATGTGTGAACAGGAAGATGAGACTGTCAGGCATGTCCTCTGCGAGTGTCCGGAGTTATCGCCAATAAGAGAGTGTGTGTTCGGCGAGTCTTGGCCTACACCTGCCGATATAAAACAGATGTATCCAAGTGACCTGTCCAACTTCCTGGAAAGGACAGGATGAACGATGACCCAGGAGGACAACTCCTCGGGAGGATGTACAATGGGTCACATGTGGCCTAAGTGATGTGGGCTCACACTCACCCTCCCTACTTTACAGATACAGATAGCTAACATACTGGTAACGTGTTTTTTTCCAGTTGAAAAAACTTGGAGGACTTGAAGAAGAATCACAGTATGTATATGTATTTGTTTTGTTCAGTATTGAAATTGCAGTATATATCACTTTGACTTTAAGTTTACAACATCAGGGATACCAACACTTTCTATTTATTTACTTACTTATTTATTTAGTCAGGAAATAAAATCCCTTTTTTTACAGAAACATTACACAATAAATACAAATTCAACTAACCCCACTATTCGATTCAAGTAGGTACTAGGCATGAAAAATTCAGGAACAGTGAACGTCCAGAGCTTAGTTTATCTTTGAGTTGATAAATGCCATTCAGTATGTCATCAAGGTCAAGCGTTATTATGGGGCTGATATTCACTGAATTAACATTGTCATTGAAAACCAAATGGAACTTGGTTACCGAATTGACTTGTTAGAATGAGATGAGAAATAGATTAATTAGTAACTTCTGCAGTAACAATGGAACAAATACTGAGAGTTTCATGAATTGAAGGGGTTATATTTTTAGGAGTGATTAATTTTTGGGAAAGAAAGTTTTTGGCTTTCTACTACTTCATCTTGATACAAAAAAAGATGAGGGAATCTTCCAAAGATAGGAAGGAAGTAATCAATTTGAAAATAAGTAACTCTATACATGGATGTGTAGATCATGCAAAGAAGTAATTTTCAGACACAAACTGAAAGAAAGTCCTCCTGAAACAGCTACTTTCATATAAACATTGAATTACACGAAAGAAAAAAATGTCGATCCAAAATTCAATGATTCGGAAATATAGCATGTTTGTTACCCCATGCCACAACATAATTTTATTGCCCTGCTCCTTGGTTCATGAACATTTCCCTTTTCAAAACAAGACTATTTTTTGGAAATGTACATGCACGATATTCAAAAATTTCCATCTGAGCTATATGAATTGATAAAACTGTGAGATATGTGAATTGATTGACCATGGTCTTTTTATTGGTGGGTGGGTTTTCGCGTTTGGAAAATGCCTAGGTGGCTCATCAGTGTCTAACCACTGTCCTGAACATCTCCTTTTCAGCACACGTGACAAATTAATCCAAAAGGAGTCATTTCGCAACCACGTCACCTTGTAACTTGACAATTTCTGTCAATTATTCAAATCGTGGGGCATTCACTTTCAGAGCATTTTGCCAATAGGTTTCCATATGGGAGCTGACGCCCAGTTTTTTCAACATCCCATGCACCATTTGTGATAGGTCAGTTCCCATCAGGATCCTCAAATTAATTTTTACGGTTTATTTCATTTTATAGAAAACTTTGTACCTTACACCTATTTGTTTTTCTGACTTGTCATAAATGTATTTTATAGATAACATGATCAAATAAATATATCTTTCTATCAAATCCTCGTCCTGCATGACTGTAGGTCGACCACTTCGGGGCTCAAATCTCCGGAACGAAATTTCGCAAACCATCGTTGAAGAGTGCGTTCATTAACACTATTATTGCCAAATGCCTGGTTAATTTTTTGGGCTGTTTCGGCACCGCTCTGGTTCGATTTGAATTCCTAGTCCCAACAAAACAAGTTTTTCACATAAAAAAGATTTTGTCTTACAGTTACTCATGTATATGACAAATAGGTGAATAATTTTTCATTAATGTAAATTGGAGGCGAAATTTACCACTAATTCGAAATTTTCAAAGACTCATTTTAAAACTATTGAGATTTCTAATACTCACAGAAATTGTTATTCACGCCCAAAAGGAATTATTTTCAAAGCTTGAAGGAACTTGTAAATTCATCGTTTTTAGAAGTAATGTTATTGATTGATTAACCTATGACTTTGTAAGTACGTGTGGCAACGAAAAAACAACAAATAACCCAGCTAATGCAGCGTAGAGAGTTGAAGTAAAACCAACAGGCACCTGTGCAACGTCTTCGATTTGGAAGATTCGTCACAACTTATTTCCCACTATGAAAAGCAGAAATGAATTTCATTTGGTCGATATGACCAACCGACAGACTAGTTTCGGGGTACTTGCCCCATCATCAGTACCGGGAATGGTCTCTTCAGAACGGTGTGAACCATCTGAGTATCACGACCAAACAAATATAATTCCAGCTAGTCATGAACTCTTTCTGCACTTAATTCAGTGAGATGTCCACTGCGTTTGGTCGTAATACTCAGACGGTTTACATCGTTATGAAGATACCATATTGGATATTGACTGAGATCAATAAACCGTGAATATATCAAATAAGCTTACAAAAATTGAAAAATAGACAATAGAAACATTAATTTATATCTTCTTATGAGCTCGATATCCAAACAATGTAACAATGTATACAAACCTTCTCATTTCTTCGATTGTGGGGTCAGAAGGAACTGCGTCATAAAAAGGTAACTGGTATTCGTCGAAGATACCCCCGACGTTACATCGTCTGGAAATTTCCCAGAAAATGAGACCTAATGCGTATACGTCGGCTCTCTTGAAGGAATCGAACTGGTCGATGTTCATCGTTTCATCCAATACTTCTGGGGCCATGTATCTCTTCGTTCCTACGCGATTATTCAATGGAATGTCAACCGTGTCTGTCGTTACATCATGACGAACGGCCAACCCCAAATCGCCAATGGCACAGGTACCATTTGACTTCACCAGAATGTTCTTCGACTTCAGATCCCTGTGGGCGATGGCAGGTTTTCCTTTGGAGAGAATACGTGAGTAATAATCATAAAATATGCTCCATTATTTAAGAGAGACCTTGTTGATGAAGTTCTTAGAATAATCTGCAGTCAAGACAAGTGATTTCAATATGGCATATTATCAAGTTTAAAAAATATATTAGTAATGCTCGGCCTAACTATAACATAAAATGATTCGTTATAGAAAAAACTTATTCAAATCTTTTTCACATTTCCAGTTTGTGACGTGGTAAGTAATAAAATTGATGTTGAGCCATTGTCATTGTTCAAAATGGACAGTTTGAAAATTTTTTTCTTCATATATTCATGTCAAGAACAGAGAAATTTTTCTTCAAAAGTGGTCTCCAGAGGTCTCTCAGCTTTCAATTTTTTTATTTCAAAACTCCATTTATCATATGCTACCGGGCCAGAAATATTATCCTGCGGGACTCAACTGAACTATTTAAACATTAGAATCTACGAATAGTTCAAAGAATTGTTTAGATCGGAGATTTTCAAGTTTTAAACTGATAGCTAAAAAAAATAATATTACACTGAAGTTCACTCAAAACAACTATCAATGACTGTCTCAATAATAATCAGATTGCTCTCTACTTTGACCTAAGTAGAGGATTTGATGAATTTGATAACCAGCTACCCACACATAAACTACAGAAAACATTGTGAATATTGGTGTCCCTCAAGGTTCCATATTGAGACCAGTTCTTTCCACAATTATGCTCTAAGTCAAAGAATCATTATGTATACTCATAATAATTCTCAATTTCTGAGAAAAATTTATAAGAGTACTAATTTCCAAAAGTAATATTTAATCATTGATTTGCTGGTGAATTTGTAAAGATACATTTTATGGTATTTATTACAAAAAATGTAATACTAATCCTCTATTAAGAGTAAACGATAGGGCAGGTAAATTCCCCTGAATTTCTATGTGTGCACCAAACAATGGAAACCTGATATGAATGAATTGCCAATAAAATAAGTATTTTGAGTATTCCACGACCTTCCTTCTCAAGTATAGTGGAGAAATTGCTAGGTTAAGTCAAAAAGGAATAATGCATCAATAATGCAGCAATGATGCATCTTGTGCCGACATTTCAATAATTAATTTTAGGTTTTTCAATGTTCACCAAAAATAAAATCAAATTTTTTGAGAAAAATTTAAAAAAAAAAGAAAAATCTTACACTCCGTTTCATTGTTTTGATCCGAAGGACATTATGAATACAATATAATCACATACATTAAAATTAATTTAGAAATGAGACATGGAAATTTATAAAGTTAACATTCTTCGAAAACAAACACGTAATACATACACATTGTTTGTCCAGGAACACCTTTTTTGCTAAGTATTCAAGTGATATATTGTCAGTTATTGGAACATAAAAATAAAAATTATTCGACTATGGTGTTAGATGTATTTATTTCGAATTTTGTGAAAACCTAATTTACCGTATCATTTCCTTTGTAAGAGATACGTCATTTAATTTGATTGAAATCTCATAGGTTGTTCTGAAAATTCTATTACATTTCAACATCGCTCTTTATCATCTTCTCTGCCTACCTTGCAACAGTGAAATCAATACTAAGTTATGGGCTTATGTTATGAAGTAAATCACTTTACAAGAATAAAAATTTTGTAATGCAAAAAAGAGTTATCAGATGTATGGTAGAAGTAAATTCCGAGACCAAACACAAGAGATTACAATTCAATGCACTTCAAATTATGACAAAAATTGTAAATAACTGTAAAACTTGTAATATACGATTTTCATTTATTCATTCTGAACATAAATATGAAAACTACCTCAAAAAATGGTTGTAAGAAAAGCGATTTATTACAAACCGCTATTAAAAGAAATACCTTGTGTGCCCATAATGTCCATGTGCAAATGAGCTAGGCCTGTAGCAATAGATAGCGCCATGTGTATCATACCACTTGTGTCCAAAGTATTTCTTCCCAGGAAATCAAACAAGGAACCGTGCTCATGATAATCCGTTATCAACCACAGCTGGGTCCAAGTGCCATTATCTGAAACATTAAAATTCAAGTCATAAATAATTATTTAACAAATCCGAAAATTTTGTTGAGATTTGCATTTAGTATCTGCAAAATAAGATCCCAAACTGTTAGCTGCCAATTGACACATTAAGTACTGCGTATCTAATCAAAAAATCCATGTTGATAGGAAAGTGTTGATTTTCAGTGGACTATAAATATACTACTTTCAAGACGGCAAATAATAGACTCATCTCTCAAAATTAATGTTTGGTGAATGTTACAAGTTCGAACTTCCAATGTCTGAAAAGATTTCAAAGATTTGAAATCTATGAAAACTAAATCAATATTACTGTTTAATATCAGGAACTCTGATTGTCATCCTTAACGATCAGCCAGTCTTTGCTGATACTTCGAGATATAACCTTCGTCCTCACAGTCAACGCACATACCACTGATGATGTCTGCCGCAGTAGAAAACGAAACGTTTGGTACTTCAGGTTTCATTCGATCTCGACCTATCAGCCCGGATTGGCTCTCTTTAATCATGACCCCGGCCGGAAAAGCTTATGTTCTTATATTCCACCATATTTTGACTAAGATACAGTTTTTCCTTTCAGTCACTAAAGTTTTTATTTGGAAAGTCCCGTGGCGAATAAATTTCTGCAGTGAAATAGTTAATTAATTTATGTACAATAAAAATACCTTTATTATCTGCAGCAATGAATCCAAGAATATTATCATGTCGAAGCATGACGGTCTGATAAATTTCAGCTTCACGGAACCACGACCTCTCTTCTCTCGAACTGAAAATCTTCACGGCAACATTTTCGCCCCTCCAACGGCCTCTCCATACCTCGCCGAATCTTCCTTGCCCTATAATTTCCACCAACTGAATCTGGCGAGCTATACTTCTCTGAACCAACAAAGGAAGACCTGAAAACGAACGTAAAGGGGTGACGCAAGGAACTACTCTGGGACCCGCATTATGATTCGTGTATGCAAATTACCGTCAGTCACTTACCGGATCCACTTCCGCTCGTAGTCAACTCTATCATGTGCTTCAAGCTGACGCCCTTGTTCAAAATGGGGTGATCTGGGGCTTCGATACTGTCGTCAGCATGTCTCAAATGGTGGTGCATGCCACGCCTGCGAGTCGATGTATGATAGAAATATACAGCGCCGATGATGAGACATATTATCAACGTTGGAACCGCTATCGAAGCAGCTATTTCGATGGTGGTTAAATAACTTCCAGTTGGATTCGCTGAGTCAAATAATTTCGGTTGTGAATATTCATTCAAAATGTTGTATTCGAAGAATCTGAATATCATTACCGATTATACACTGTGGTTTCTAGGATTGCAATGAAAATACGTATAGAAGACTGGAATAAAGCGAGTATTCCAAGGAAAAACATTCGCCAGTGAACTTAAAAGAAAATTTGATTACAAAAAAATGATTTATTGGTTTATATAAACCACTGAAGAAGCTAGCCACTCGTTACGGCAAAACGTCAGGAATGAATTACAAAGATCGATGGCCTTCAATCAATTCTATTTTCAATCAAATTTTCTACATTTTTCTTCGACTACTTTGCCCCATACCATTAGGTAAAGAAGTCAGGAATGACTATGGCACTACGGGTGCCATTTTATAACACAAACTGCCTTGAAATACAACAGTCTACTTCATCATATTATCATTTTGAGGCTAATTGAGCTGAGATAACATCAAAGTACTTATAAAAAGTGAATTGGCAATGAAACAATAAATTATCGTCGAAATAACGGTTTCCTTAGAACTAGACGAATGATTGAAATTGGGAAAACTTGAGAGATCTAATCAAACAATTGAATACTCTTAAACAGAACAGTGATTGGCTTCTCTAGAGGTTACTTCAAAGTTTCTTAACTAGATTTGGGTTGGGTAGTATTCAGTGATAACAAATCAATGGCCATTTTACCCCATGTGTCCTCTTTACCCCAGTCTCCCCTACGTACAATTGAAAATCAAGTCATTAAAGTCGATTTCAGATTCTTCATACGCAGCGTGAATTTGAAAACATTGAATTTTCGTGCGAACATCGTGCTCGAACGTTTTCAAATTCGATTCAACCAAAAAAAAAAGCAAAAAGTTGGGTTAATTCTAGAAAAAGCATGTTAATACATGAAACTGTGACAAACCAAAAGCATACAAGCAAAGCACCAGAGAAATATTAAGTTTGGCTCAGCCTAAGGATACAAGAATTTGACTAAATTACGAATGTATTTGATCACCGGAACCTAAAGATATTAATTTTTGTGTTTCTAAAGGGGGGGGTCAGCATAAAAATACCTATTCTTCAGATTTAAAATGCACCTTTTCAGATGAAAAATCATCAGGAACATCAGGAAAACATAGGCGTAGACGGAATTCCGTGTCAGAAACTGATTTTAAGTAAGTGGGCAAATTCACTTTATGAATAATATAATTCAACAAACTGAAGCAGACCCTACCACTATCAACAATTTAAACGAAAAGTCCAATAAATTTCAAATCTGTCAAATGCTCTCTTAATCCAGTAACTTTGTCGCCTGAAAGTATGGAGTAGTATGCGTCAAATTCGGTAGTTCTGATTTTTGCAGACTTATTGGTAATGTTGGCCTTATGAATAAGCCAAGTTTGTGACCTCGGCCGCCGAACGCAACTTTGTCAAGAGTCGAAAAAACCGCGAAAAATCGGGGTTTTTCTCCAATTTTGGTCATAATAACCCTAAAGAACTAGTTTTTGAAATCCGGTAGTTTTTTTTGCAGACTTGTTTTGATGTTAGCCTAATTAATAATCCAAGTTTCTGACCTCGGGCGCCGAACGCAACTTTATCAAAAATCGAAGAAACCTCGAAAAATCTGGTTTTTTCTTCAATTTTGGCGATAATAACCCTAAAGAGCTAGTTTTTGAAATCCGATAGTTCCGATTTTTTGCAGACTTGTTTGTGATGTTAGCCTAATGAATAATTCAAGTCTGTGACCTCGGGCGACGAACGCAACTTTATAAAAAATCGAAAAAACCTCAAAAAATTGGGTTTCATCACCAATTTTGGCGATAATAACCCTAAATGTTGTTGACTGGCCGGCTGCCCAAAACGTGAGTGCCGTTTGAACTCAAAATCTACAGAGTGTCTGATCTCAGTTCCAGCCTGGGTTTGTGTTTTATATGTAAGGAGACTTTGAGTGAAGGTCAAGCGCGTCTAGTGAAGGGAAGAGGTATAAAAACTCTTCTTGCGTCGAATATTTCCCTCAAGAACATAGAAAATCATCGTTTATTGAAGGGCGTATATGAGATATATGTGCACAGTGCTTGTCAGATAAAATACAAACAATCCGAAGTTGATCAAAGCAGCTGTTAGCAGTGGAAAATCAAATATTACGCCATCAAGGGCCGCGAGATCAGTCTCTGAGCAGTTCAATTTCAGAGAACGCTGTTGTCTATGTGGAGACAAAATAACTGAAGAGATCCTTGTGGCAGAAAGGAAGAAGAATCCAGAAAAACGAAACGGAAAATTTATCTCTCAGTGCAACAATCTTGAAAGCAGCTGAGAAATGTGGTGATGAATGGGCTCTTAAAATAAAAGAGCGAATATGTGAGAACACATATTTGGTAGCCCTTGATGCCAGATATCATCGGTTTTGCCAAACAAAGCTCTACCAAAATGAAAGTCTAGGGGAAATCGTCAGCATCTCACAGTTGATAAGGCCATGGAAAAGATTTATTCATTTCTGGAAGAGAACGTCGAGGAGTGTCAGTTCTCTCAACTCATGGACCAGATAGAAGGAGAACGACCTCAACGTCTTCCTAGTTCTTTCTTCACCCTTAAACATCATCGTTCACACTTCTCATTTTTTTTAAAGTTAAATTATTCAGAAAGACAGAATTGCAAAAAATTGCGATGTTCTAAAAAAAAAATGATAAACTTTGAAAGGCTCAATCTCGGAAACTGTTAGGTCTACAGAGATAGTTTTGGTATCATATTGTAGCAAATTAAGTCTACTTTAAAAACTTACAAAGCAAGTTTTTTCAAAAACTAGTCCTTCAGGGTTTTAATCGCCAAAATTTAAAAAAACCCGGTTTTTTCGATTTTAGACAAACTTGCGCTCGGCGCTCGAGGTCACAAACTTGGATTATTCATTAAGCCAACATCATAAACAAGTCTGCAAAAAAATCAGAACTACCGGTTTTGACGCAGCTGTGATGTATAAAGTTACTGGACTATCTTGCAAATATGGCTTACTAATAAACCGTAAAATAAATGTTCAATAACAAAAAAAAGAACCTTCAGAGGATTCTTCAAAAATAACGATTTCAATCCATCATGGACTTCCACATTGTATAAAACACACGAGTTAGATTTTTCATAATACACTAAAAAAACGATGACCCATTCGTAAATGTTCGAAAAAAAATATACTTCTACTTTGTAACTTTTAGGCTTTTGGGGGATAAATGCTTACAATTTCTCCGGTTTCAAGCAGACACTCTCAACACTGTTAAGACATGCAACACATAATACCTAACGTACAAATAAATGAAGTATATTACTATCCAAGACACTCGGGACATATTCGTAGCCTCTGTAACATTAAATGATCCCAATTATTCTGCAGACAAAACACATCCCTGGTCCATATCCAGTAAGTTGTCACTTTTCAGTTTATCTCCAACGTATCCCGAAAGTTTAATTCATTCCCCGCCGATACGAAATTATGCCAGAACGAATGGAATATTTTCAAGGACATGTGCTCGAAGATGTCAACAATTTTTTAATGTTTCACTGCCACAAAAACATTCGCGGAGGAATAATGTTTCTTTTTCAACCGAGCCTAAACATGAACACAACAATAAGAGTGGAAACAAACTGAAAATCATTACATTTATTGTCATGTTTATTGAAAGATAACCAGTAACATAAAAACTTAATTCCCGTTCTTTAGTTTTTACTTGTTAGTAATTGCTGGAGTCCATGTTGGCATACGAAAGAACGGACACTGTTGGTAAAATTGGTTGAGTTGGATTATAGGATATCACTCTGTGTTTGTGAAGGCGTTTTCAGAAGATGTATTTCAAAAACTGATAAAAATGTCGAAAGAATTCTTAATCTTCTGCAGTAAGATAGATGATAACGGTTGAAACATAATTTTGTTTTTTAAAGAGAAAGGAAGAGACATGATATCACTGTTACTGATTCAAGGCGGGTTAGCTGTCCTTGTTAATTTTTCACTGCCTGAACCACTGTGCATGCTATTTTTGACGAGTGCATTGGATTGGGATGTGGGGGTTGAGCAAACCGGCCATCGGATGCCTGCTTCCACGTAGACCCGCTGGATACGGGAATGACAGAATCACTTGTAGTTCTGTTATTCCCGAACTGAATGGCATCCCAAAGATGGCTTAATCCTAAGGTGTATGTATTCCTGCTGAGAGGATGAATGACACTGATCCTATCAGCTGTCTCGTCGTAGCATCGCCTTGTCACGTTAATGCGGGGCACTGCCGTAATTGACGTTCTTTCCTTAGCTACTCGTGGGACTTTTATGGGCAGAGTAAACTTAAAAATTCTTTCTGGCGCTGAGTCTATAGAGGAGATGGATGTCAAGCGTATGACCTGAACTGACCTCCCTGCAAATTTATATCAGGAGCGAGTCTACAGAGGTAATGGATGTCGAGTTTACGACTCCAACTGACCTCCCTGTAAATTTAGTTCAGGAGCGAGTCTACAGAGGAGATGGATGTCGATTTAACGACTCCAACTGACCTCCCTGTAAATTTAGTTCAGGAGCGAATCTACAGAGGAAATGGATGTCGAGTTTACGACTCCAACTGACCTCCCTGTAAATTTAGTTCAGGAGCGAGAGCTTCTCAACTCCCCAACTCCTGATCCAATAACTGAACCTAAAAAAAAGTTTAGTCACAGTATTTTGTATACAGTAATTTCATAAAGGCTGATTTGTGGTTTGAATTTTCCTACGCGCAGACCCACGCGTCGATGTCTTAGGTCTGCGCAAACGACGAGTTTAAGACAGGCATGCAATCAAAGCGTTTAAACACTGCTCAACATAACAAATATTAGAGCAGTTTATATGAATAGTTGTTATGTTGAGCAGTATATACACGCTTTGGTTGAGATTGTAGTAGGGAGAAATGTCATTAGTGTCAAATACGTCATCATTATAAAAAATGAAACTCCTGGACACCGACATCAAAGGGACCGACGCTGAGTGAAACTACTGTATACAGAAATACTGTGGTTTAGTGGTACAGCCAGGAAACGACTGAGTCGTCTCGTCAAGAGCGGGGTACCTTATTCCAAATTCTTGAGCGGCGTACGCAGAATCTGTCTGGACCCCACAGAATCTGTGGGGGAACACACCCGCATGAGCAGGTAAGCAAACGTTTGCGCACAAGTGATGATTCACCAAAACTAGAGGCGAAAAACCCTGCACGGTTGAATCTAAGGCATCGTCAGGTGTAGCTGAAAAAACCCTCATATGGGAAGGTTGTCGCGGGTATCAAGGCGGGAATCTTGCACCTTGACTATCCAACTACCTCATTAACGATGAGACAGCAGTGCATATACTTTGTGCCTGCCCCGCTGGGGACCGAATCAGGTTTTAAGAGTTGAGCACGGCCGTACTCTTACCATCTGACCTGAAAGACCACTCACCATACAAACTAATCGGCTTCGTTAAGAAGCTGGGTTTATTTGGTCGAGTGTGAATAAGTGTGAGCCACAATAAACACTTGCGGGTTGCGGTGGAGGATCGAATAGACTCACTCACTTTGGACCTAACCTAGCCTAACCTACTGATTCAAGATCAGTCGTGAATACAAACATCTGGAATATTACTGGATTTTTTTCCCAATACCAAATCGTTATTTTAATCTTCCTCTTGAAGATCGAAACACGTGTCGAGGTGTTAAAATAACGATTTGGTGTTGGGAAAAAACTCCAGTAATATTCATTGCTTCCAAACAGTGCATCACAACTAAAATCTGGATTGATTCAAATTGACTCAATCTGAATGAATGAATAAACAAAGTCAGTTTAAATATTGGCTGAAAGTTTAATACAAATTTACTATATGTTCCAGAAAAACAAATGAAAATACAGCTTGTCAAATCTAGGAAGAGACTTGAGAATTTTCGCTCTCATAGTTTTCTAACGTACGCACATCTAGGGGGCGTGACCATAACGGAATTCAGAAAGCTCTTCCTACATTTGACGAGCTGTACCCTTTATTGCTCGATTTTGTAATGCTGTTCAAGGATCTAGAATAGAATAGATAGCTGTTCTATGAATTGTGAACAAATACTGCATCAATATTACTACAAAAATATACAATGTCACCATCGTAGTTGCTGATGATGCTAATTAAAATATGGTCGTTAAAAAAGTTTTTCCCGCTTGTATGTCATGTGTTTTTGAAGCTCCATATCTCAATAAATATACCGGGTGTCAACGAATCTATTAGACAAGTCATAATTTCTAGACTATCAAAAGAATTAAAATAAAATTTGGTATAGTTGAATGGTATGTGGAGAGGAATGTTTTCACATATTTTTCACTTTCCGGTCACTTCCGGTTTCAGCGGAAATGGCTCCGGTTCTGAATTTTTAAATGGAACACCCTGTATATTGTAACATTTTTGGATTTCTGAGACAATTCTGGATCAGAAACTGACATTTCCGGAAGTTTTTCAGCCTACTTGATTTTTTCAGAGTCACTTTTAAAATTGCATCTAGGTGGCCATGATCGGACGTAAACTAATCTATGGACCTCAGGTGATATCAGAAAATTGCAATAGCGGAGTTTTAGTGACTAGTGTGTTGAATATGAATGAGACAAGTTTACAAAATAACATTTTCGTGTCTAANGCTCGATTTTGTAATGCTGTTCAAGGATCTAGAATAGAATAGATAGCTGTTCTATGAATTGTGAACAAATACTGCATCAATATTACTACAAAAATATACAATGTCACCATCGTAGTTGCTGATGATGCTAATTAAAATATGGTCGTTTCAAAAGTTTTTCCCGCTTGTATGTCATGTGTTTTTGAAGCTCCATATCTCAATAAATATATACTCTACTGTACTCTATACATTGATGCTGTTCATTTCTTCCCCAAATTTTAATGTTTTGCGTCTTTTCAGCCTATTATTATAGCGTATAGAGATTTTCGGACAATGTTTCTTTACGAATTCAAATTGAACAGAAGCGCTGCCGAAACAACCCGAAAAATTAACCAGGTATTTGGTAATTATAGTGTTAATGAACGCACTGTTCGACGTTGGTTGGCGAAATTTCGTTCTGGAGGTTATAGCCTCGAAGATGAGTAACGAAATGGTCAACCTACAGTAATCCAGGACGGGGTGGATCCTGGTGGAGGCTGACACACCACAAACGTTGCGTAGGATGGCGAAAGAACTGGGCTCCCATCCTTTTTTGAGGAAATCGACAGGATGTACCGAAAATTGAGTCAGCTCAGTCAGCTTCAGCCAGCACTGGACCACAGAAAAAGTCCGACCTTGCTCCACGACGCACGTTTCAAAAATCACCGGCCGAAAATGAAACGAATTGAGTGTCGAAGTTCTGCCTCACCCACCATACTCCCCAGATCTCTTGCCAATTGACTATCATCTTTTCCACTATTACAATAACTGTCTCACCGGTAGAACCTTAGCCAATAAGGAACAGGCCAAAATGGCCTTCGTCGACTTTATCGCATCTTGAGCATCCAATTATTATACTGACGGATGTAATTGACTTGTGTTACGTTGGCAAAAAAGGCAATGAAAAAGTATTCAATGTTTTTTCGTTAACCTCGTGGCGCACCTTTATGAAGGACAACTCTCAAAAGTCGAAACTGGTGCGAGCTAAGGACTAACGAGGTCGTATCTTTTAACGTGTGAATCCTATCAATTAAAAGTAGACTCATAAAAACGAAGAAAACTTTTGAAACAACCTAATATTATTCAGATTAAAATATTAAAAAACTTATCTACTCAATTTGCACAACTCGAACATCTTTGTAATTTCACTACAATTTGCAAATTGACTGCTTAATGAAATGTTAAGAAGTGAGTTTATCTCAACGAAACAATTAAAAAAGTATAATCCAACAAACTTTTTGCATTTCAGCGTCATGTCCATGTAATCGATGAGGCATTCAAATCATTACAGATTCGGCTGAGATGTTTAATATCGGTGGGCATTCTTGTGAAGGTTGATGTAAACCATTGATAAAATTAGACTTCTGTTTGTTCATAATATAAAATATCTATCCAACCGCAGCTAAACTATGGCTCAACTGTTAATAATGTTTCAGATATTAAAAATACTCTCAAGAAAATTAGTGTTGTGTTGTGTCGTGCTTGTGTACTGAATGACCATATTTATTTTGAAATACTTTCATTATATCTTGCTATTCACCAGTATCAGTGTGCGAAAGTTGATTCAAGAAATGTTTTTGTATTGTCATCTTCCTATTTTCAAGATGAGATTAGCTTTTTCAGACGTCAAAAAGTAGGTTTCTCCGAATTAATTTATCCCATTTCTAGATATCCATCCAAAAATCAGTTTTCCAGACGTCACAGTAGCATCTATGAAAAGTTTTGGGAGAGCGACATAAATGAAAAACCCTTTTCATTCACTCCGGTAACCAGGCCGGAGCAAATATATCGAATAAATGTCAGTTCTTTGCAATGAGAAACAACAAAAGTTTAGCTAGACCCTCATCAGCACATAATATACCAAAAAACCTTTCGTCGTCACGGACTCCAGCGTTTTTCATGTTAAAAACTTTCTACGTTTGGGGCAACGAAAGATTACACATGCGTCATCAATGGAAAACGCGACAGAACGTATACTTTTAGCATCTTTTTCTTCTAAGATTGAAACACAGTTGAGGTTTGCTTTCGATCGGCGGATGCCCTTGTTTGGGAGCCAGTTTGCACTAGATACATCGAAGAGAGATAGTTATACAAACGAGAGTCGTCGGTAACTTCTTAGATGTTGACACCAGTTGATGACAAATTATTATCGTTTCACAATCTGAAGTAACCTCAAATTGATGAAGCATGTATAATTTTTGTGGCCTCAACCGTACATCCCCGTAATCAAAAGAACGAATCCACCCTTTAAAAAAAACTCGCAGAATTACCGAACATGGACCAGTTCTCAGGACGAAACATGTAATCGTACCCCCATTCCTGAGTGAAAATACTCTAACCTTGTCTGTGTGTCAACGGTACAGTAATGTCGTTACAAAAGTCTCTGTTATTACAACAAGCGGTAGATATTGCGGAATACTCGGGATTATTTTCTACGTCGTATTTGCTTTCATTGCAATATTGCTCTGTTCTATTAGCGTACATGAACAGTTCGGGGATCATAGGTTTGTCGTAGCATCTATAACAAATCTAGCAGTGAGAAAATACGAAGACGATTAGTTATTATTACAACTAGCTTAAAGTGATGGAATATGTTGCGGTTAGTATTTGCGAACCAGCCTTCTATTCGCTGTATACCTGGCGGTGAAATTTAGAATGAGGAATGTTCCTCCTGACGAAAATAAAGTAGTTTTCATAAAAGAGCTCTAAAACAACGCATTTTAAACTTATCATTTCAACCTTTTTCTTTAAAAAATTATTTAAATACTTAAAAAAGAGGAGTGGAATAATGCATTCAACATTTAAAGGGATTCGTTTCTATTTTACCATTTGGCAACATCGGTTATAGCTAATAAAGGACAATGAATCTGTTACCTGTATGATACAAACAAAGATGACATATTTCAGAGGCGTGCTGTTCTGTTTACTTATGTTCCGAGACATTCTGTGACATATGACATTTTGTGCACCTAACCTACCTTCCTCTATATGAATAAATAACAAAACAACTGTTGTTTATATGGCTTGTGGAGGTGGCATTGAACTATAATTTATATTTTGCCTTAATTGTTGATCCATAAAGATACTTTTCCTTTTTTAAAGTAGAATATCTAGGTACGTATAAATTATTTCAACTTGATATAGGCGATGTTGCTAATATGTGAATTAAAAACAAATCCCTTTAAAAATTAAAACCCAACATTTGAAACATCAATTTGAATACTTTTCGAAGTGAATTTGAGAAATTCATGAATTAAACTCAACTTTATTTTGTTCAAACTTGCATTTGCTGTAATAACCCAAATTGAGGAAAATTCCCCATTAGAGGACAAATCAAATATTTCAGAACAGGCTCGGGTTACGTCGATCATGATTTAGTTTGGAAATCTTGATTGCAGCACGTAAACTAAAAAATAAATTCACTTCTGATCTTGATAAGATCCTTTTTGGTATAAGATTGCATAGGTGTATTGGTCTATCCCTTACTGACACTTTACAATCTTGCAGTTAAAAATAATCATTTTCCTAAATTATGGAGTTTGTCCCAATTTTAAGTCTGGAGATCCATCTGAATTCGGAATTATCGTCCTATCTCAATCCCATCGAACTTTGCAAAACTTCTCGAAATTGTCATCTATAATTGCGTACATTCCTCAGTTCGTAATATCATATCTCCGCAACAAAATGGATTTATGGTAAAAACAGATCCACTATAACAAATTTAATTGTATTGACCAAAAATGTTAGCGATGTCTTAGATAATCATGGTAAAGCTGATGTGACATACTGATTTTGCTAAAGCATTTGATCGACTTGATCACATGATCCTTCTACAAAAACTCCACCAATTTGGTTTCCATAATTCTGCAGTACTTTTCATTAAATCCTACTAACTTCAACGCGAACAGTTTATGTCTTATAACGGCTATGATTCTTTTTAGTACACTCCTTCATCTGGAGTACCTCAGGGCTCGAATCTCGAACCAGTTCTGTTCTTATTATTTATTAATGACCTTAGTAATTATGTCGATTTCAATAAGTTATTTTTTGCAGATGATTTGAAATACATTGCAACGACAGTTAGAAAATATAACAAACTTGGTATGAACTTAAACTATACCTCAATGCATCCAAATGTAAAGTAGTGTCTTATAGAATGTCAGTCATCGAGTACAATTATCGAGTAGATACCATTTCATTGTAACGAAGTAACTCAATTAAAGATCTTGGTGTATGTTTTGATCAAAATTTGTCTTTTTCCAACCACATTAAATCTGAAGTTAGTGAAGCATTGAGAGTTTATGGCTTTATAGTTCTCAATTGTATATCTTTTTCAAACATATCTGCCCTATTTACTTTTTATGCAGCCTACGTAAGGTCAAAATTAGAATATGGCTCTGTTCTATGGTCTCCATTCTACAATTGCTATAATACATTAATTGAAAAAGTTCAACGTCGTTTCCTTAAGTTAATTTACTTCAAATATTATGGTATCTATCCTGATAGAGGTATTCCATATGAATCTCTTACCATAAAATTCAATATGGAAAGTCTTGAATTACGCAGAAAACTTGCTGGAATAATTTTTCTGTATAAATTACTTCCCAACAATGTGGATGCTTTGGAGGTGTTATCTTTTACAAATTTCTGTGTGCCTCATTTTAGAACTAGAAGTACGATAACTTTTTACAGCCGACTGGCCAGAACCAATTTGTATCTCAAGTCACCTATCTTTAGCATTTGTAATTATTTCAATTTAATTTCAAATTTGTGTGATATCAATTTTGATTCCCTAAAATATATTGTTGACATTACATCTCAGTATTTCATAGAGAATTATTAATTTTCTGTTATTTTTTTTAAATTTCATTTTATTATATTGTTATTCATTTTCTCAAATTGTAACTTTGGTAATTATAAAGATCCCTGTAAATGGATTTTTAAAGAGTGAGTGGAGCAAACCACCCACGTCAACCCCACCGGCTCACCGTCCACCAAAGCAATTCCAAAAACAGTTGGTCATTATTTTAATTGTTTCTGAAAGTACGCAGCCATAAAGTTGAATTTGAGACAGTCCATAGATTGAAGTTACTTAATTTTCCCGAACAAAACTGAATAATTATGTCATGCATTATGTAGGTTCAAAGCGACTTATTCTAATGATGTTTGTCTATTACGAGTATTATGTATTCCTAGAATGGTCGAGCAAATAAATGAATGAATAATTGATTATTCTATTCCACTCTAATCCACTAGCAACTTCGGTCTATCTTTATTTCATGAATCACTGAAAACTCGAAGTGGTTTTGTTGTTTTTACAATGATTTTAGTAATTGAATTATTTAAGCCTGAAGTTCGCTCGAGGATTTCTTCAATAGTATATCTTCAATTAGTAAAATTTTAGTTAAAATTGAAACAATGTTTTAACTTGATCGAAATAGGAATTGGCGATAAAGTCAAATTTCGAATAAAGCCATCAATAAAAAACCTATAAGATGAGAACTTCACTTGTCACCTGTATACAGGGTGTAACTGAATAAGTGTAAAACATTTAAGGAGGTGATTCCTCATCGAAAAAAAGATAAGGATCTTTCATATAAAGAAACTTCATTGGAGCATCCCTTGTTAAGATACAGCCCCTTAAAGGGGGTACATAACATTTGTATAACAATTTTTTTCACAAGCACTGAAAAAGTTACAATATTGAAATTAACCTGACATTTTGTACTACCAAAAAGACACTTACTTAGCCAGTAATTTATTTGGTTCACCCCGTGGTTGTAAGGGGTGGAAAACTCAACCCCTAAAATTTATTTCCAATGTAACTTTTTGGTCTGCACTGTACTAAATTTAATTCAAAATACTTATATACAGATAAATAAAATGTTCTCAAACTTGACATATTTCATTATGAATAAATTCTTTCTATTTATAAATATGGAGGAAGTGTGGGCACGAAAGAGAGGTATATAACATCTGTTTGGCTTAGGGTTGGTAAGGGCGCGACACTAAGCCACCCTTGGATATTTTACAGAGTGAAACGAAATGTCATGCTGGCGATATAAACGTTGCCAGCTCTTTCTCTCTTCGAATGAATTTTGGAAAGTTTCGAAAACCAATCCGGATTGCGGATTCATATATTCTTGTGAATCAACAATACAAGCAAACGATGAAAGGAAAAGAGACATAGACGTAGCGTTAACGATTGCAGTGTTTTCGATCAGAAACAAGTATTTGACACTGTGATAAAATGTTTTTGAAAAAAATTGTATTATAATGGAATGAGGGGGCAAGTTATCGATTAGATCAGTAGAAGGTAGAGATGATGAAAAATTGTCACAATTTTAATTATCAACATCTATTCTCTGACGATATGAGAATATGTAAAAAAATCTGGAGGTCGCTGTTGAAAGATCGGATTTTAGGTATTCAAATATCACAATATTAAAAAATGCGCAAGCGTTAGAAACACAAGACTGGATACCAGTTGAAAACCAGATTTATACTATCTGACCACGGAGCATACTTTCAAAATAGTGAATAATTATTTAGCAAGATATTTGAATAGGTATTTACACACATCGGAAAAGTGTAGGGATATTTTTATAACATACTAAATATCATAAAAATAAATGCATGAGGTCGTTTAATTTCGATTAAATTGGTACACTCGACAACCCTGCAGATTTCTATGGGTTGAACAAAGCCTGCAAAAAACGGTAACTAATCTTTTATCAAGTTTTTTACTCATTTTGTCGATGCACGATAGATGTAGGGCCGTAATAAACCAGCGTGGAGGCCATACTTTGTACTGATTCCAATTTTTTTTTGTATTATGATTATTTTTTTCGGGGTGCCAAAGAAGAGGCATATATTTTTTTATTTTTGCTTATATGCGCACTCAGTATTTTTGACCATTTAATAAATTTTGTTGTAAGTTACATTCATTTAATAATCACCCGTCCACTTTTTTTTCCCTGAAGCGATCTAAAAAAAATTATTGCCAATTTTAAAAATATCCCTAGACTTTTCCGATGTGTATAGTTTATAATGATAGTAGCTACTATATAAAAATGGGATATAGTGATCACCAAGGAAAGCAAAGTATAAATATTTGATTTTTTTCAATTCGTAGGCAAAATTTATAAATACACGTTTCTGATTAATTGCACTCTTCAGTGGTAACTTTTCAGTATGCTCTTCATTACGCTCCAGAAGATTCTCTATTGATTTAGTTTTGTTTATTTTTCTGATTGTGGAAGGTTATATGCCCAGAAAAAAACAGTAAAAAAAGTATCGAGCCCCCCACAAAAAAGTCTTTCAGAAAATATAACTTTTTTGAAGTTTTCCAAAATGTCAATAGTTTACCTGTAAAAAATGCTCCTATCGAAAAATTAAAAATGCTATTTAATTAAACATAGGTATATACATTTCTAGAAAATTCAAGTATTCATTTATTAATTACACATGTAGACCCATTTGAGTATCTTTTGTGGTATAATTTACGTTACTGCTTTG